ACGAAATCGAGGTCTAAACCAAAATATCATAATTTCATCACAAAATTGACCTTTGGCACCATTTAAAATGGTTGAAATTGGCCCAAATTTTGGCAAACATGTTTTTTTACCAAACGTCATCGATTGCCGCCTGGGGAGCGGAACATTTCAGACTTTCATTTTTTTTGACGCACCCTAGGGCGGCACGTCAGCATCAGGCATCGGCGCTCGAGGTCGGCGCCGGCGGGTTGCGCGCATCAGGCTCGAAGCCTTATGCCCGCAGGGCCGCTACCTGGGCATACAGCATCGCCGCTGATGCTGCGAGCCGAGGCGCCTCAAATCCCTAGCGCTGATGTCACGGAGTGGAGGGGGGACGCCAGAGGCATCCGGTTCATTTGAGTTTGACAGCAGCTAAGGCAGCACTGTGCTGCGGCGCGGCGCCGTCACTTAGCTCCCACTTTTAGCGCGGTGAAACGAATTTTCGGATGGGTATGAGAATAAAGAAGATGACAGACTGATGAGGAAAGTCCCGAGTTAACCGAACTTTTTATGGGATCTTTTCAAGTTTGGAACTAAAACATTTGACCGAGTTCGAGGATTTTCCAAGTTAGCCGGACATTTTAGCATTGCGTAAATAGGCGAAAAAACGAGACGCAGCCATGATTACCGAGTTAGCGGGGTTTCTGGCTAAAGCGGGTTCCAAGTTAGCAAGGCTCTACTGTATTTCGAAAAAAATAAACATCCGGTAACTTCCAAACATAAAATAAGGAACAAATTATATGATTAGTCTTCTATGATAGAGAAAAAATTGAAAAAGATTCTTTTTTCCAAAGACCTACATGATTTAGATGTTTTTAACTTGTATTACTATTGTAATGTGTTCAATGTACACAATCTCTAAGTAGATTAATGAGTTTCAGCAAATTCTGTCATCAGCTGTTTTTAGATATAACACGGTTTTTTTTCTTCATATCTTAACGGAAAATTATGCCAGACGTCTGAAACTCGATACCAACACTGTAGAAGAATTGTGGATTCTGAAAATCCCTAAAATGCTCGATAACCGCTGTTCATATAGATATGGCTTCATATGTCCCCTTTCCAAATTGTCACATAAATCACAATTCGTGCAGTTGATATAACTTCAAGTAACTCTTAATCAAAATATCAACATTTTCATTTAGCATTGGTTACAAAACAATTGAATTTCCCGCTCTAAAGAAAAACAAGGCTACTTGAGTCAAATCCCACTTTACAACAGTTTTGGCAGGTCTCTCCATCAAGCAGTGTTTCCGCCCCAGCCCATGGTGCTCAAAGTGTAAACAAGTCAAACTGCAATAGTGGAGCCAAAGCGCTGAGATTGAAGCTATGATATTTTTTTACTGCAAATACTGCTACAGTAACGTTTAGTGTGCGATTTAACTCAAGTAAATAATCATATTTTCTATGAGTGGGAAGTTTGAGTCGCTGCATTAAAAAACGTCAATATCTCTGTCAATAATTTTCTTGTCACAAAAAGTGTTCTACGTGAAATTTTGATGAGAAAACACATGTTGTAAGTAATGCGTAACTTTGCACTTTGTCTAGTGGTCCATTATGAAAATCCCCTTATAGCAATTGTTGGTCTAGGGTAGCCATTTTTTTTAGAATTCGTTCTGAATGCATTTGTGTGTTCATTTAAGGTGATTCGATGGACGCCATATTTTGTGTCAGAACGGCATGAGATATATCGCATCAATTGGTTCCATTTTTTCAGCTACTCGTCATTTTTCTCCAATTTTGAGATCGCAATTCTGTTGTCAGGAGACTAAAGCACTCACCAATTTTAACGAAGAAATTCAACATAATAAAGGCGTGGTTTTTTTAGAGAGAAAATATCGCATTCGAGTGCAGTTTCGATATCAGTATCGAATGCGATGTTTTCTCTCTAAAAAAACCACGCCTTTATTACGTTGAATTTCTTTGTTAAAATTGGTAAGTGAGTGCTTTAGTCTGCTGACAACAGAATTGCGATCTCAAAATTGGAGAAAAATGACGAGTAGCTGAAAAAATGGAACCAATCGATGCGATACATCGCTTGCCATTCTGACACAAAAAATGGCGTCCATCGAATCACCTTAATGAATTTACCTCAACTGATTTGTTCTCCTTTGATTTTTCAGCATTTTATCAAATCCTGAAGTTCTACGTCAACTCCAAAATTTGCAAGCTCATCTCTCGCAAGCTCAGTTACAGAAAGATCAAGTTGATGTTGAAGAAAAAATGCGAAGGCTGCAAGAAATGAAACAACAAGAAGAAGAGTTTGACCGACACCTTGCTCAGACAGTGCCGGTAATGTATTAAATATCTTCATCATAGGCTGGATTTCACCAATGAGCTTGTTAACTTGTTCCTAATTCTTGCATATTCAGAAACTACGTTTTCTCCTGATCAAGCAGAATTTTTCAGATTTTTTCGAGCCGTTTTCCCCTCCAAATACGACTGTTGAAGTTTGAATTTTTAAACATCGTGTTTGCACGCGCTTTAGCGGCAGTCCAATATGGCATCAAAATTAGCCTCCCGATTTCTTGCCACACATTTGACCTTGCGTCGTCAGCAGTATTTCTACGCATTCGAATATCGAGGCTAAGCAAAACAAGCAACCGGCTGATATGACACATTTTGACACGGATTTCATTCGTTTTCGGCTTATTTTATAAAATGTTATTCGTTCAACTAAAATACATAACCCTGCTTTACAAATACCTCGACCTGCAATCTTCTTGGAACGTTGGGAAATCCAGGAATATCTTCCAAAAATGTGTTAGTTATATGTGTGAGGGTGTGTTAGTGTGTGTGTGTGCTTATCACTTATCTGGAGGTGTTAGTTTTTCAATTTATGTGTGAGGGTGTGTTAGTGTGTGTGTGCCTATCACTTATCTGAAGGTGTTTGTTTTTCAATTGAAATCGTCTCGTTTTCAGTGTTAGGGTTATCATTGCACATGATTTTTACAATGTTTGTGTTCATCAAAATATTATTATGTAAAATACTATTATTCAAAATATTATTAATTATTCTTCTAATGATACATTTTCTTTGGTCATACATAGAGTCTTGCACTTGCAACCATTCAGTATTTCAGCATTCTTGGCATTGGACGGGCATTTTGCTACTAGAAGAATATCTGATACGGAGCACTGACTTTAAGATTTTTCCTCCCTTCTAGAGTGGTGAAGTCAATAATCTGCATATTTGCTTATTTACCTCTACTTAAATATCCACATATGCTGTGGCATGCTGTTGTGAATATCTCCTCATGACCAACTTCCTTTGAAGTCTGCTGGTGTAGTAAATCATGCTACAGTTTTCTTAGCATTTATTTACTAAAAATAAGTTCAAAGGTATTTTCTTTGACATGGATCTACATTCTACCCTGGAACTGTCTGTGCCAGCACCAACAGACCCATCGGGAAAATCCATTAAATTCTGATATTGAAAGGTACCTACCAATATTGTTCAAACTATCATGGTAGTTTGCTCCAACATGCACTAAACTTGTTTTGAATTCTTTGGAACATACGTGGTTTTCTCTCAAAAATGTTTGTAGTGTGCAACAAGTGTAACATCCAGTAATTGAAAATCACAAAAAATGTAGCAAATGCCAATTCGAAGGCACACTAATGTATTATCTTATCTCTGGATTGACATGAAAACCTGAGGTCTCCATCTCTCAGCAGAAATGTCCAGGTACTAATCAAAATTTAAGTCGAAGAAAATCTGTCTGGATTTTCCTTCAATGCACCCATGAAAACCCTTAAAATCAATTATGCAGGTGGATGCGCCAGACTCCATCCAACAAATTCATGTAATTTCAACATTTTGAAGTGGAGGCCTGGAGTTGGCAAATTTTCTCACCTCATTTCCTGTCACCATTATCTTTTCTAGTCTCAGTCATTATACTCACAATCAGTTGTTTCTCCATAGCGATTTTCCACTGATAAAAAGCCTTATGTATTTCATTTCAATGAATAGTTTGCAAGAAAGAGGGAAGAACAATTATTATTCGCCATTGGAAACGTTTTAATTGAAATCGAGAAGGAAACTGACAAAGTAGATAGCTTCTCACCTTTCATCTTCAGGATTTTAAACAACATTCATTTATTTAGAGTCAGAGCATGCATCTTCACAAAATTTGTGTATAGTTCCATGTCAATGAATGTCAATTTGAGCTGACCTCCTGGTAAAACGCTCAGCATACTGAGACATTATTTACCAAAAAAAATCAGGTTAAAAGTGAACCGAAGTCTTGGGGAGGATGTCATCAATTACATAGAAAATAAATGGATGGGAAATGGAGTCTAAATCACTGATGTTATAGCTTGCATTGAGACAAACTATCAAAGAATGGCGCACACTAGCAATTGACGGGATACCTGTCAATAATTATGGGACTTTGAATAGTTAAATAAGTTTATGGTTGCAGAATAGAAAATCGTGGAAGGACAGTTAAGCTTTGGTGGCTTCCCTAGAGTTAACTTGTGATACATGTTATATATTGAGGATATATCTTTAAAGAGAGGCATAAAGGGAAGGAGATTCAACTACTGATTCTATTTAGATCGCCGTAATGGAGAAGTTTTCTCCAAAATATTTACAAATTGAAATAAATCACAAGGCTTCATGAAGCTTTGGCATGGTAAGTATCAGTTTCAGAATTTAAGGTAAGATAAGATAAGATCAGATATTTATTCAAAATGTAAAACATTAAATAAAAAACAACATTAATCTGCCCGGCAAATTGGGATACCCAATTATCCTGCCAGATCAGACCTAAAATTAAATTCAACTGATAATAATACAAGAAAAAAAAGTAATAACTTAAATACATTGGCATGAATTAAAACTAGAAAAAGACGCAATCATAATAAACATTAATTCAGTACAAAAAATGAGAAAGAAAAAAAACAAACAAACAAACAAAAGTAAGAACAAATATAGAAATACATATAATGGAGAGAAATTTAAAAAAAGAAAATGAGAATAAATCAGTGAAGAAGGAAGGAAAAAAGGAAGCATAAACAAAAAAGAAATAACAACACTAATATAAAAAATAAGTATAAAAATAAAAAAACAAACAAAAAAAGATAGAGTAAATGATGGCAAAAAAAAATATATATAGAATCAAGAACTAAAATATTGAATAAAGTAGTTTTGATGATGATAAAAAAAAAAAAAAAAAAAAAAAAAAAAAAAAAAAAAAAAAAAAAATTGGAAAAACAAGTTTCAACAACAGCTCTCAATAAACAACTCGACAACTTGATAAGAAAATATAGGAAAAATAAGTTTCGACAAAACTTTGCATAAACAACTTGACAACTTTTACAGGCCAACATTTTATGACTTATACAAAAAACAAGTTTCAACAACAATTTTGAATTAATAACTTTACAACTTGATGGTAAAACATAGGAAAAACAAATTTCAACAACAACTTTGAATAAACAATTTGACAATTTTTACAACTTTCATTTTCATGTATGGTAGGGAAACATTTTAAGTGGGGCAAGAGGAAAGTTATCCAAAATTAAAGCACTGCCTACCATACTCATCCAACCACTCTGACTCCGCTAAAACTCTCTCTAGCTCCTTCTTAACCGTGACAGTGCTCATTTTTGGATACTCCCGAAAAGCAATTGGTAAACTTTTTAATAGCGATGGTATCTGTACCTGAATAGTTCTGTCACCGTAATTGTTGTTGGTTCTTTGCACCTTGAATAAAAGGGAGTTTGCACAGGACGTTGTCCTACTTCTAGGAACCAATTCTTCAAAATAAAATGACTATTCGTAATTTAAAATTACTAACTTATACGTAAGCAACAAATCCACAGGGTAGGCTTCCAACAATTTATATCCTTCCTCTCTTTGCATTGGATCTGTCATATCTTTCTCTGTTACCACACTCACTGCTCTATCTTGTACTTTTACCTAACACCCCTAACACCCTGCTAAAACCCTGCCAATTAGGCGCAAATTTAGGCCAATAGGCTAATTTCACCGCGCAATCTGAGGTAGTGAAAAGGTTTTAAGTCTTCCCCTAATATCGTATTCATACGATAATGTATGAGTAAAAAGGTATTTTACTAATGAAATTAGCTTTCTTGGAAAAAAATTCCCCAATTTTAGGATTTTGGACATGAAAGATTCTTCAAGTGGCAGCTGTGCATTTCACCTTTCACAAGATTGTTTCCAAAAGAAAATTGACTTTAAAAAAGAAAAATTACAAGTGTAATCAAAAATACCGCAAAAACAGATGCATTCTACATTTTCAAGAGGAATTAGTCACAAATTCACTTCTCTACCATGGAAATGGAGTATCTGAGTGGGCTGAAATGACTGAGTAAACTAGCTTGCACAAATTTGGGCGATATTCTCGGATTTCCCAACGTTCCAAGAAGATTGCAAGTCAAGGTATTTGTAAAGTAGGGTTATATATTTTAGTTGAACGAATAACATTTCAGAAAATAAAGCAAAAACGAGCGAAATCTGTGTCAAAAGGTGTCATAACAGCCACTTGCTTGTTTTGATTAGCCTCCATATTCGAACGTGTAGGAATACCGCTGATGGCGAACGGTCAAATGTGTGGAAAGAAATCGGAGGGGTAATTTTGACGCCATATTGGATTGTCGCTAGAGCAGGGGCAAACGTGATGTTTTAAAATTTCAAACTTCAACAGTCGTATTTGGAGGGGAAAACGGCTCGAAAAAATCTGAAAAATTCTGCTTGATCAGGAGAAAACGTAGTTTCTGAATATGCAAGAATTAGGAACAGGTCAACAAGCTCATTAACGTAATCTATACATTTTTTTAAAAGAAAAGCCAGTTTGTAGATAAATGTAGTCAATGATTTCAGCTACGTTTTCTTCACTTGCCATGGAAAAAATTAACTGTCATCAGTGCTATGCTAGACCATCTAGGTATTTGTCATTTTGCCTCGTTTAAATGGAACAGTTTGCACACCCAGCATTTTAAGCTATGCTATCTACCAGATATGGCTTTAACAAATTTTCAACTTGGCAATGCTGTAAAGCGGGGAATAATTTTATCCTGACGTGTACTTTGTATTAGAACAACCTAAAAGTTTCCGAACAAGATCAAAAGGAAAAAGGGGGGGGGGCGGCGTTTTCGAAGAACTCTCTTCAAAAAAATTGTCTGCTTCTGCCTGGTATCTACAATGATACTGTCCTCTTACTCCTCTGGTAATCGATTTTTATTTCATAGTGGATTATCGCACAAACCTCTCAGAAACCTAGAAGTTCCTCAATCTGATGAAAAGAGCTTATAGTAAAAATAGGTAGAAGTAATCACGGACGTAAACGTTTCATTTGATGCTGCCTTCAATAAAAACATTTTACGAATATTCATTATCTTTCAGGAGGAGGGAATGCTACAATAAAACGAAAATTAATATCTCAGCTGCAGCCATAGAACTCGTAAAAGTTTTTACTCAGTATTATTTAGGTGTGCTGTGTATATATTGTTCAAAAGTAGTCTGGTCCGAACTGTAACTTTCTCCCCTTACTTCCCATAAGCTATTCAAACTTTTTCTTTGGTAATCTATGACTAAAAATGCCTGTCGCCATTTCTTTGTCTCTTCGCACATACCCTTTGGTCTAATATTGTTAACCAGTTTTGCTTCTTAAATAAATAGTGTGATTTTTACTGGCTTACTAACCCCTTTTGACTATTATATGCCTCTGTTTCTTCTCTGTAGGGAAATTTTTCTGATTCTTTACAGAAATTGCCTTTCGCAGCCGAGTGTGATTTCAAACCAGGCGCTGGAGAAGCAGCAACAGCTGCCATGCAACAGCTGTTACTACAACAGCAGCAACAGCAAGCCGCTATGTCAGCTTTTCTGGATGGTCAGTCAAGTGCGACTGTTGCCAACGACCAGAACGATCGAGATGAAAGAAGAATATTGTAAGTACTCGGCCTCTCTGGTTTAGAAATTCTGGAATACACTTGATTAAAGTAAATTTTCCTCTTCTTCATTTTTGACCAAGGCCGTAGTCCTGTTTGTCCAGCCTCTACTGTCACGAGTCAGTGATCTTCTGGGGATGAAAGGCAGCTCTGTGCCCATTTTATAAGCGGTCTCCCAGGTTGCCTCTGGCCTTGAGGTTGTCTGATTGTACAAAGTTCAATCAGCCTTACTCCATCCACCTTCTCGAGATGCACAGACCGCATTTTATGAAGCATAGATTATTCAACAAAAATTAAACTTATCTTGTTGTCTTTACTCGTATTCATAATGGATTTTGTGAAAATAGCAATTTTTGTGAAAGGTTTCACTTTCATCACCCTTTTCAAGTGAGGGAAGGAGAAACTAAAATATATGATGTGATTATGTTTTATAGAGCTTTACGATGAGGAATTTTTTACTTCGATTAAAGTAAAATTACTTTAGTTAAATCAACTGCAGTATAGTCAAGATTTGATCAGAATTGGGAGAAAAATAAAATTAATTAGCAAATTTTTTTCATTTCAATTGTTTTGCGGTGTTTGCAACGAAAACATACATACATGGTTGGAATCTCTGGAAAGAAATTTCAAGAGACTTAAAAAATCGGTAATTTTATTCTGATCCCTCCATTCTTTTTGTTTTTAATTTATTTTTATTTTTTTTGAAGAGTTCATTTGATTTTGTTCAACAAGTTTTTTTTTCCCCCAAAATAAATTGAATTTTTCAAACTTCTTTGGTTAGAAAGAGAAGAGGAGACCTGTCAAGAAGGGATTAAAATAAAACCCAATTTGACTCAAGTACTTTAAAAACAAGAAAATCAGAACGTCGACGAAGCCGTCTTTAAGCGGCGCAACATTTTATGAGTGGCTTATGACTCGTACCTTGCGGATAAAGTCTCCTGAAAAATTTCTTTTTAAGGGTAGTCGTCGGTCTTCGGACTTGAAGTAAAGGAAATTCACATGAAGATATGAAAATATGTTGCTATCCTCACTACTATTCAAATTGGCACATGGCGTTTCTTCGAATGTAGCTAACCTGTGTGGGTAGAATATTCCTCCCAACGCATGACAAATTGCTCTGAATGTGATGGGTTACCTCCTGGAACATCATTATCAAAGACATTGAATCATGTAGACCGTGCATCCGACTCGGTTCAGTGCAGGCGAGGCATGACAAGTTGCTCAGAACTCCGTGATGGGCAGGCAGGGAAGGGGAGAGACCGTGTGTCCCAAGTACTCCAAGAGACTGCAGAGAAGCAATTCAGAGTAAATTGGTTTTTCGCGAATAATTCGTTTTGAGTTCATTTTGAGACAAAACTCCCAAGAATAATAGTTGTAGAACATATAATCTTACAACCGAATTGCAAAGTTTCACCTCTCCGAACTAATTACCAACCGAGAAAAAAGCCTCAGAATCCCACAAAAAATCACTTGGGGCTGGGACTGTGCATGCCTCGGGGACACACGAACTTACTAATGCATTATCGGCGCTCTGCTCTCATTGGTCGGTGCGCCATGCGAATTTTAAAAGTTGTCATGCCTTCTGTAACACAGGATGCACGGTCTACAGGGTTGCTACTGTCAGGGAATACTGAGAAATGTCAGAGAATTTTAAAAAGTCAGGGTGAACCTGGAAATATGAGGGAAAATGACGGAAATGTCCGGGAAAAATCATCGAATCACCCTCATTTGTTTTCTCGAGTGGGATTGACGTTGTGAAAAACAAATTTTGCCTGAAAACCATTTCTAACTTTGCCTCTTAAAAAATCTGGTATTTCTTCAATTGTCAAGGAATCTCACCAAGATACGTCAGGGAAATGTCAGAGGATTTAATTTTCCAAATTTTGTGGCAACCCTGGGTCTACATGATTCAATGTTTTTGATCAACATCTACAAAGGTTTAAAAGTGAGAAGTGAATGTGATGAACCAGTGAAAACCAATATGACTTTCAATGTGGATGATTAGACAAGAAGGTGATGCCATGGCCAATCATCATATACCATGATCCTTGGAGCCATTGTCAGATGTAAGTCTAGTTAGTACAAGAATGACTGATTGCTGGGAGATAAGCTTAGAAAAGAAAAGCTTAGAAAGATAAGCTTAAAAAGATGTAAAGTAAAAAAAATCGATTTATTCCTAATGACTGCTTGGAAATTGAGGTAGAAAAAGAAAACTGAGGTCACAAGGGGATTCAGCGCCCAAGACAATAATTTTGTTATCATTCGATGTGATGTTCTTTAAATCTCTGGAAGACAATTAGCTCAAAATTAAAATTTTCATCTGCCGTTATTGACAGTGAATTCATGGCCATTCTCACACGCATCTATTTATGGAAATGTGGGATTGTCACCATGTGTTAGTGAACAATCATTCAGAGGAATTCAAAGCTCTTAATCTGTCTCAAAACATCGGATAATCCCGATCACCAATTAGACGTTGCAACATTGTTACCAGATATATTATGTGTAAAAATGCTGAAAAATGTACTCCTCAAAATGTTTTTCTCTAAAGTAGCATTTGAAAAGTTCAATTTTTAATGCTTATCCAGCTCTGGAGGTCAGGAAAATCACCGTATCTAAAAGTAATGCAATTTCGACAATGCAGAATCTCATGGTTTTCTATGCAGGGCCCTCTGATCTATAGCATGCCTCCAATTGACATTCATGACTTGTTTACTTTCATTTTTTCAGCCAAAACCCTGTTGAAATAATTGACTTAGAAAAAAGTGAATCTCCTCATGAGTCTCACGATAGTCGATCGCGGCGACGAAGACGAAGCAGGAGCAGATCTCGGAACCGTAGCGGTGCCCGAAGTCGGTCCCGATCTCATTCTAGATCAAAACGGCGGCGGTCCAGGTCTCACGACAGAGACCGAGATTGGCGAGAAGATAAAGAATATGACAGGGAAAAGGAACGAGAAAGGAAGAAAAAAGGCCTTCCTTCAATCAGGAAAAATCATTTGTCAGGTAATTGATTGATACTGAAAATTTTGCAGTATCGCGGCTGCGTAAATCAGTTCAGTCTGTGTTTTGGAACCTTTATATTTCACCACTAGGCTTTTAGTTCTAGGTATCATTTTTCTAACGGAGAAATTGCATTAAAAATTGTATTTCTCCATCTGAGAGTGCTTAATGAGCTAAGTATGCAGTTTTTTTCATAATTTTTTTCTGATACTGAAAGTGTTACGCCCTTTGGCCCCTATGCAGCCCAACCCCCAAGAGCGCTTTGTGTCCTCTGAGATCCGTTTTGCGGACCTCTTCAAGGTTTATCTAAATAGAGCAGGCTCATTAGGGATTGCATCCTATCAATAGCTGCCAAAATGCCTGGTAGATCTTTATGAAAAATTTTAATACAAATTTACATTGTTTAAATGAGAGTATTCTTAACTTTATCACGTAACATATCAAAGCCTATGTTATATTTCCAAAATCTGAATAGATTGGGCTCATCTGGGGAATAGCAGCTAAAACCTTGAAAATCAGTCCAATTGAATGGTAAAACAAACTGTGACAGTAAATGAAAATTTAGGGGGTCAGAAAATTCATAGTACTGATAAAAAATAAATAATAGGACCAAATTGAGAAGGCCCTGGATCTATCCCGACCCGAAAGAAAATAAAAATAAATAAATGATAAGAATTGTTAAAATACTAAATTGATAATAATAAAGAGAGGAATAAAGAATAAGTGAAAAAATGCTGGATAGGAAGTAAACAGGGAAGAGCACTACGTAGTACGAAAGTCTGTTTCACAAAGACACAGAGGAAACTGGCTTGAAATGGTCTTTTGACTGTGAATGATCGGAAGAGGAAATGGCAAAAAGGCGGAAAGGAAAGTGAAGGTGGAGCAAGAGCTCGTATGAGAAGGGGTAGCGGATTGAGTAGGCGCAGAATGCGCATGGAGATGAGATGCAGTGGAAGGGGTAGCAAACATGCCCAGCATTAGATGTTACGCGTTACACTTATGATTTTATGAGTATAATTGGGCTGTGTGAAAGAAAAATATATTAAAGTGAGAAAGTTCACCGCCTTATGATGGCATCAAGCAGCATCTTTCATCTACACACATGGACTTTGTTCGACACCTAGTTTATAATTTTCCTGCCAAAAATGTTTGGACTTTGAAGAGCTTTTTTGGAGTGTGTGAGGGTGTGGGTGTGTGAGGGAGGGTGTGTGTGCGGGTGTGTGTGTGTGTGTGGGATTGTACGATCAATGGTTATGGGGTCCGTACACACGCTTCTGTCCCACCTTGTGGGGACTCCCTATCCTTGTGGGGTCATTTTCCGTGGCCCCATTACCAAAATTGTGACAGAAAATGGCATTTATCGGCTAAAAAAAAAGCCCGATAGGTCAGATTAGGTTAGGTTAGGTAAGGTTAGGTTAGGTTAGGTTAGGTTAGGTTAGGTTAAATTAGGTTAAATTAGGTTAGAAGAAATTAGGCTGTTTCGGCCAAAATATCGTTAGGTTAGGTTAGGTTAGGTTAAGTTAGGTTAGGTTAGTTTAGGTTAGGTTAGGTTAGGTTAGGTTAGTTTTACAACAACACACAAATCCAGTGGCCCCACAACTATTGTCGTACAAGACTGTGTGTGTGTGTGTGTGTGTGTGTTTGTCAGGGGGGGGGGTGTCAAAAATTTCCAGGGGAAAAACTGTGCTCAGAACGATGCATACAATTAATTTTCAAAAATGGTTACAACATACTCATTAAGTCAATTAATTCCATGTCAATATTATTTGCTACTGTTCTCTCTTATTGCTCCATTTATATTTATTTTACAGTATGCAGTACCACCCTATGGATAGGTCATCTTTCAAAATTGGTGCAGCAAGAAGACCTATCAGACACTTTCGGAGAGTTTGGTGACATCGTTTCAATCGACCTCATTCCTCCAAGAGGCTGTGCTTTTATTTGTATGAATCGACGGCAAGATGCAAACAAAGCTCTAATCGAGTTGAAGTATCATAAACTTCATGGAAAAACAATAACCGTAAGTATGAACTGTCAAAATCAGTCTCTTATCACGAAAGTGGAAAAATTCCAAGTTCTGAATAAATAATTTTGATAGTTTCAATTCGTATTACGATGTGTCAAGCTCCATTCTAGCCTCCCTATCAGTTTTAAGTGAAAACAGTCAATAATGTACAGTTGGAAGTTCATGAATTTTGAAATTTGCGGTCCATTTCTTGGGAATTGAAGTTTCCAGGTGAGCTCAACCTGCCCTCTCATACCGATTTCATTGCCTGCCTCCTACACCCAGTTTTACACATTGATTAGGCTAAAATCATGTAGGTTGTTTGATGACAGTCCGAAGACTCATTTAATGATGCTGAAAATTGAGCTACTGAGGATAGTAATACACTCTGCCAGGAAACAATATCCAAAAAAAGCTATTTAAGGAACAAATACCTGGCTTTAATTATTTATCTTTTATTATGACTTTACTTCTAATTTTCTCTTTGCACATTGCATTAGTGATGCCTGCAAAATGAGCGGCCCTTCATATCCATCAATAATGCCCCTTTAAAAAATTGTCAAATAATAATCATTACTTATGGGTGACAATTACAAAATTGGAACAAGTGACTTTGACTTGGAACAGTGTTTTGAAGTCTCAGCCATTCTAAGTCATTCTCAGTCATTAAAATGACATGAAGATTACCTAATGTGAAATCTTTGGCGTTGTACTTTTGCCTGACTTTCAAGAGCTTGATGCAAAAACGGCTTTTTTCGCCCCCCCCCCCCCCCCGGAATATCTTCAAACTTTGTCTATTGATTTCTGAGCGCTTCTTTTTCCATATTTTCAGACCCCTAAAAAATTTTGGGGGGCACTAGGGGGGTCGGAAGTCAAAACCTGTGAACCTCAATATCTCTCAAACAAACAGAAATATCGAGGTCCGGTTTGAACGAAAAATCGTCTAAAATTGCATACTTTAAGATTCTAAAGGTCAAAATTCCTAAATCACATTTTCAAGTTAACATATGTGCTTTTTTCAGTTTTTGGTTTGAGAAAATTTCATTTAAACAAAGAATTTACAAAAACTCAATTTTTTATTTGAACCAAAACCAGTTTTTTCCATATCCAACGTGTGGTCCATTAAGCTGGGGAACCGAAGGTTTCGAGAGTTGTAGACGATTAGAGTTTCCGCTCAACGCGCGCCGACCGATTTTCGCGCGCCAAAATATGGTTCTAAAGCCCATTTAGGTGTTAATAAATCAGTTTAAGTAAGTAAGTAAGGGCTGGGCTGACCAGTGAAGCGCTCTCAAGGGGCCCAGGCAAGTGGCAGGAACCCTGCCGTCGTGCACCCCAAAGTTGGACCGTGCTCCTTAGCTTCGCACAATTGACACATTGTGTATACTCTATGTTCCCGCAAGGCTCAGCGGCCGTCTAATAGCCAATGGTAGGTCTTATCAAAGACTGTGCCAGACGCTGCAAAGCACGGATTTTCGGAGCACGGCCATGCCTCCACCGAGTTGGACTGTGTTGTTGCAATCTCCACAGATAGGTAGCGCTGGCGCACACCACGAGTGATCACCGATTGTTTTACAACCCAGTCGAACAGTGCAGACAGATTACTTATTGGGTGACTATGTCCCTCCCACACCATGTTACCTCGAAGGGTCAGGGTATTTGAATGACATAGTCATCCACGGTCACTATGACTGATAATTGAGTGTCCTCAAATATCAGTCACCTCCGAGGATTGAACCCATAGGACGTCAGTGGAACTGCCTTAATAAATCAGATTAAATGTTCAAACCGTGCAAAATGCATTTTTAAGGATTCTTGAAGGTCGCTGAGTTCAAAAATTACAGATACCTCCTTCCAATAACTCACTTTTTTCCCCTACATTATTCATTCCCAGACCCACCGAGTACCGACCGACCGGCTGCTCAGTGGGGGATAAAGCTAATTTTTGGAAGTATCTGTGATTCCTGATCTCAGAGGCCCTGAAGAATCCCTAAAAATTTATTTTGCACGGTTTGAATATTCAATCTGATTTAATAACAGTCAAATCCGACTTTTTGGCGCGCAAAAATCGGTCGGCGCACGTTGAGCGGAAACTTCAATCGATCATAACTCTGGAACCGTTTGGTACCTCAGCTCAATGGACCACTTGTTGGATGCAGAAAAAGACCAACAATTTAAAAAACTGGTTTTGATTCAAATAAAAAATGAGTTTTTGTAAATTCTTTGTTTAAAAAAAATTTTCTCGACTCCAAAACTGAAAAAAGCACATTTGTGAACTTGAAAATGTGATTTAGGGATTTCGACCTTTAGAATCTGAAAGTATGCAATTCTAGACGATTTTTCATCCAAACCGGACTTCAATATTTCTGTATGTTCGAGAGATATTGAGGTTCACAGGTTTTGACTTTCGACCCCCCCTACCCGAGTAGCAGTGATCGCGATAAATAGCGACTTTATCGGTTGAATATCGCGATTATATCGGTGGCAATTTATCGCAATATTATCGAATAAAAAATTGCGATTTATGGCGATTAAATCGCTATACATCGCAATTTTTTGTTCAATAAAATCGCGATCAATTTCCGTCGATAAAATCGAGATTAAACCGCCATATATCTCGATTTTTGTTGCGATGATATCGCGATAAATTGCCGGGCGATAAAATTGCGATTTTATTGCAACAAGATCGAGGATAATCGCTCAGATGTTGATGATCTTAGCGATTTTATCGCCGACAAAATCGCAACAAATCGCGATTTTTCCGTTGAAAAATGCTACTTGGGTAGTGCTCCCCCCCCCCCCCGTTTTTTCAGATAATTTAGATCGCAATTTTACCCCCCCCCCCCCAAAAAAAAAATTTTTTGTAGGTCTGAAAATTTGGAAAAAGAAGCGCTTGAGTATGAGTAATCAGACAAAGTTTGAAGAAATTCCGGGGGGGGGGGGGGCAAAAAATGCCGTTTTTGCATCAAGCTTCTTCAGGAAAGTTAAAATATGCCTGCAGATGAGAACAAACTTCACATCAATTCAATTTTTTTGTTTCCATGGTCTTTCTTTCCTAACACGGCTGTATGACTAATGACAGCTTGTTGCATTGAAAGACGACCACATTTTAAAAAAAAATTAACAAAACTAGTAAATAAATTTCCTACATGTCAGCAGGCGAAATGTAAAACAAATTCATTTCTTTGCTATAAGCAGTTCTCTTTGAAGAATAATCAAAGTCTCGACTATCTTATTAAAAAATTCTGTAATTAAAAAAATATTTAACTTTCAGCAAATCCACAGGTTCCCTTCATCAACCACTTTCAGATAGCTAAATGTTCTTAATGGTACTAGTTTTCTTTCTCTGTCAATTATTTTATCTCTCATGATATCGAATTGCACACCCACATTAATGAAAGAACTTTCTAATCTGCGTATGTGTGCCCCAACATTCTTATGATATCAAACTGCACCCTAATGTGGATAATTACCGGCTACCTCCATTAAACTGTGTCATGTTCCTGCTAATAAAGCTCCAGACGAAAAATACTGAAAAAACTTAACGTAGTTTCATAGATCTGCAAATAATTAATGTAATTCCAGACAATACAAACCATTGCTTTAGGCTCTTCCCACTGCAGCAGCTTTTATTATTTCCTTCTTTATTTGTATAACTTTTTAGAATCAAACTGCATTAGAAATTAGTGACAAAGCCTCTGTCAATCCAATTTATGGCCCAGCAAACTAGTAGATACTTGTATTGTTAAGCTTGTCCGTAATTTGGTAGGATTTCCTCAAAAAGGGCCCTGATGTTCGGTCTGTATGGAATCGGGGAACGCAAAGAATGTAAAGGTCTCCGTTTTCCATTAAAATTTTGTAACTGTTCAAAACATAATTTGTATCATTTGTGTGGTTTTTTATTTTAATTTTTCATGTAGATAACTTATTTTATGACTTCTCTTTGTTTAAAAGTTGGCTTGGGCTCCCGGAAAGGGAATGAAAGGCAAAGAGTGGAAGGATTTCTGGGAGGTAGAGCTAGGAGTGTCTTACATCCCGTGGAATAAGTTGTCAGCGGATACTGATTTCGAGCTGCTAGAAGAAGGAGGCATGTTTGATGAAGAGACCATGCCCCTGTGGATGAAAGGTAATCATTTTCTACCTGCTTATTTCATAATTTACAGTCTATGGTACATTATAGCAACTTGGAATGTTTATTTTTTCAATTTTTATTTTTCTTTGCTTTGTGATTTACTCACTTAGAGTTTTGTGAAAGATTGATGCAGCCCCCTAATGCACTGTATTTAGGTTGCTGTTAAATGAATTTTGGTCAAATCTTTTCTTATCAGTAAGTGCACTCTTAGAGAATACACTCTCTTGAAAATTTTTACATTTTACCTCTTAATTCTTCCAAGTTGTAAGAGGACAAAGAATTTTCAAAATTGTTTAGTTTGATAACGTTTTGAAAAAAAGTATATTCAAAATAAATCAAACAGCAACCCAAATACGGCACATTTGAAGGCTGCATCAGTTGTCCAGGGCACCAGAACAGGTCCCCCGCGTTTTGCATCATAGTGCATCTCCTAAATTGCGCTCCATGAGTTTTTTCTGTACCTGACAAAAATGGTTGTGGTATCAAATAGATGGTCAGACAATTCTACGCCTCCCTCAAAGAAGGCAAAATAGCAATTTTCATGATGGCCTAAAAGATACTCAACCTCAAGATTTCCAAAAGTTTGAAAATTTTTAAATATATTTTTCAATTTCATAAAAACTATTGGTTAAACAAAAACATTCACGGGAAGCAAACTTATTCTTCTGGGACATACCTTTCATTGATAAAAAAGTGGATCAAAATCCGATTTATAGTAACTGAGGGATAGCACTTTAGAAAAACCTAAATGGTAGACTTTGTTGGCAGCCTTCCTGCTCCAGACCTGGATCTGAAAAGTGTTGGCCTTTCCAAAATTCTTCCTGAAGACACCACCAATGAGCCCTGGAAGCTACATATTCCAATCGACAAGTGCAGGATTTTTTCTTGTGCAGGCAGCTGAGACTGCTGTGTACTCTTATCTTCCATTGAAGCAATGAAACAAACAGGAAGAAAGAGCTTTCTCAAATAGTCTTAGCAGTAAATTTTACACAATTTTTTAAGCTTCGTTTTGTTCTTTGAAATATGGAGACTAGTGCAGTGAAACCTCAATAGCTCGGTTTCCATCGGGACCGAGGAAATTTACCGAGTTAAGCGGGTTACCGACTTACGCCAACTGCCACTTTTCCGCCGCGCTTTTTCAAATTTAGCGCCCGAAATTGGACAAACGCAAACGTGCGTGTAGAGTGACGTACAGGAGTGTTTTGGAGAGCCATTTGATCGAAGAAAATGGTACTAAATGGTAATATTTCATGAAATGCACTTGAAATTGCGTGTTGAAAGTGTCAGGGCATCATGAAGTCATCGGGTCAATCGTTTGTTGGGGTGCCATCGCGTATCACCCCCCGCGCATGCCGCGCGGTGATGCGCCGCGGCCGCTCGCTATGACGGGTCCTTGCACTGAAAATGCAACGTATCAATACTCGCTAAAATCCTCGAAAAACTCTGCAGAAGATTCCTGAGGGGAGCGGGGAAGGGCAATGCAAGATTGTAGGGGGAGAGGGGCTGGTGCCGACTGGACCTGTCAATTTATTGATGCGTGAAATTGCTTAATTATGCATGCGTGTTTTCACACGCGCGATAAGATAAACACGCGGTATCAGATATCCTATTCTCTACTGTTCTCATCTTTCGAGTTGTTATCGAGTGTTTTTGATTCCTTATCTCTCTATTTCCGATGTCGTATCTCGCACTGCGCTGCTTTCGCGGCGTAACTTGACCCGACGCGCGCGTAAACACTACCTACGCTTGATCTTGGGTGACGATCGAAGAAAAACTGGTCGAGATGGAAAAAGAGGTTGTTCAAAAAACGCCGATTTTGCCCCCCCCCCCCTGGATTTGGCCCAAACTTTGCTCAGATGTTGTACTAAGTGTCCCCGATGCTTTGGCAAAATTTAAGCCCTCTCGGATAATTAGGGGGGAGGGGGCAGGGGGCAGGGGGGCAAAGTTGCAATTTTTTTAAAACTTTAAAAATCGATATCTCGCGAACAGTTTGAGCGTAAGTGTTGCGGTTTGCGCTAAAAAACGTTAAAAAATATTTTCTACAAGAATATTAATGCTGTTTGCAAGGTTGCGTAATTTATCGCGGTCATAAATCGATTTTTTCAATTTTGACGTTTCGACTTTTTTTAGTTTTTCGTCTCTCCTCTCTTTGGATTCGTTGCTACGTGAATGAAAACCTGTCGAGGTGATTCTCCATAAAATTCTGCATCTACCACACTTTGTTTGACCTTACGGAAACGATTCGTTCGTGAGTTACAGCGATTTTTCTGCGCGTTACCGGTTACGCGCGGGCGGCATATCGGCGCGGCGGCGCTCCATCCCGCGCGTGCAAGGCAGAGGTTGTTTCACCGCTAGGGCCTTATATTCATGCTGCAGGCTGTAATTATCGATATTTTCTCCTCCCCCACCCTTCCCCCCCAATAAATATTTTTTCAATACTTCGTTGCACAGGGTATGCCAGACCACCCGTAACAGGTCTATTTCTCGGTTGGTTTAGAAAGTACGAAGTGGGGGACCGCGGGGTTGAATAGGGAATGGACCCCAAGGAATCCGAATTTCAGGGCCCCGAAACCCCCCATGCCCCCATTAGGAGGTAAAGAGGGGGGTCACGATCCAAAAAGTCGGGAGACATTGTGCCTCCCCCTCTTACCCCCCCCCCTAGGGTGGCTAGGGGGGCCTTGGGACCATGAAAATCGGATTCCTTGGGGTCAATTACCCGGGAAATCATCTTTTTCCGGAGAATCTACGTCAATTTTTGACCAAAGGGAAATTATGGAGGGGGCCGATGTCCCCGTCTTGAAGACAAAACTTTTGGGCGCAAATTGACGTAGATTCTCCGGAAAAAGCTGATTTCCCGGGTAATTGACCCCAAGGAATCCGATTTTCATGGTCCCAAGGCCCCCCTAGCCACCCTAGGGGGGGGGTTAAGAGGGGGAGGCACAATGTCTCCCGACTTTTTGGATCGTGACCCCCCTCTTTACCTCCCAATGGGGGCATGGGGGGTTTCGGGGCCCTGAAATTCGGATTCCTTGGGGTCCATTCCCTATTCAACCCCGCGGTCCCCCACTTCGTACTTTCTAAACCAACCGAGAAATAGACCTGTTACGGGTGGTCTGGCATACCCTGTGCAACGAAGTATTGAAAAAATATTTATTGGGGGGGAAGGGTGGGGGAGGAGAAAATATCGATAATTACAGCCTGCAGCATGAATATAAGGCCCTAGCGGTGAAACAACCTCTGCCTTGCACGCGCGGGATGGAGCGCCGCCGCGCCGATATGCCGCCCGCGCGTAACCGGTAACGCGCAGAAAAATCGCTGTAACTCACGAACGAATCGTTTCCGTAAGGTCAAACAAAGTGTGGTAGATGCAGAATTTTATGGAGAATCACCTCGACAGGTTTTCATTCACGTAGCAACGAATCCAAAGAGAGGAGAGACGAAAAACTAAAAAAAGTCGAAACGTCAAAATTGAAAAAATCGATTTATGACCGCGATAAATTACGCAACCTTGCAAACAGCATTAATATTCTTGTAGAAAATATTTTTTAACGTTTTTTAGCGCAAACCGCAACACTTACACTCAAACTGTTCGCGAGATATCGATTTTTAAAGTTTTAAAAAAATTGCAACTTTGCCCCCCTGCCCCCTGCCCCCTCCCCCCTAATTATCCGAGAGGGCTTAAATTTTGCCAAAGCATCGGGGACACTTAGTACAACATCTGAGCAAAGTTTTGGCCAAATCCAGGGGGGGGGGCCAAAATCGGCGTTTTTTGAACAACCTCTTTTTCCATCTCGACCAGTTTTTCTTCGATCGTCACCCAAGATCAAGCGTAGGTAGTGTTTACGCGCGCGTCGGGTCAAGTTACGCCGCGAAAGCAGCGCAGTGCGAGATACGACATCGGAAATAGAGAGGGCTTAAATTTTGCCAAAGCATCGGGGACACTTAGTACAACATCTGAGCAAAGTTTGGGCCAAATCCAGGGGGGGGGAGGGGGGGCCAAAATCGGCGTTTTTGGAACAACCTCTTTCACCGAGATAAGCGGTTTCAGAATCTGACCAAACCGAGCTATCCCGACTTATTTAGCATTGTGTTATATGGGTGATAAACGGGACCAGGCGATTCTACCGACTAAAGCGGGTTACCGGCTTATCCGGGAACCGAGTTATTGAGGTTTCACTGTAAATCACTAATGTTTGATGTTGATGTCGTCCTGTTAAACAAAATGTTCTCATCAGAGTTGATGCATAAATTTGCTATCTCTTATCTATTGGTATTTTCCTCTTCCAGATAAATTAGCTGAGCTGAACGAAGCCAAAAAGAAAGAAAAAAATCAAAACGGTCAGAAAGGTACAATTCTAGATCATCTTTCGCAAGAAGCGTCAATGGAAGACATGATGAATGTCACACCTTCAGAAATCCCGATTCCAGGTCCTACCCACCCAGGCTTCATCCCTTTACCGGAAGCGTTGCCTCCTACCTCAAACATTGGAGACATAAAACCACCCATGTCCGTTGGACTCCAGATGCCACCTGGTCCAGTTGTGTCACAGTCAGAAAGCGGCATTCAACAGATTCCCACGCACATGACTCCGATGGGTATCATGTCACCTTTTGGCATGCCTCGTAAGTCATTCACAAAATCTCAATGTGTCGTATTGTTTCATCTAAAAAATATGGAAATGAAAACTTCAGGCAATTCAAGTTATATCACGTGACAGGCTGTTTTTGTGTGTGAAACAGACAGCTGTATTATTTTTATTAATTGAACGCTGTGTGATTAGACTGTATCAGCAATTTACAGAATAATGGTTTATCTCCCTCTAATGTGTCTCTGACATGTAGGAGATACGGCTGTTTGAACAGACTGTGTAACGATAAAATGGAATGAATATCAGGAGGGTTTTATCCAACAAACCTGCAATCCACTCCTTCTCGTGCAATTTGTGTTGTTTGGAACACACTTTTTCAAATTTTATGTGCCTGAAAGGCATGATCGTTGACACCATGCAACGTTACCGAGCAAACGGGCAATTTTAGGCGACCTCAGTTCTTGTCATAAATGCTGAAAGTTGCCGTTTTGTTGTTGTTGTTGTTGTTCAAGTGTTTTGTTTACAAGCAGAACGTCATCTTTGATAGTGATCCATGCCTTGAGTTGTTACGTCTGTATTTATCGATCAGCAGGTTATGTTAATAAATATTGTGTTTAAAATTTTCAGTTTTTGTGAACCGCAAGTTACCAAAAATTCTTGCTGCTTGTTTTGAAACGCGGTGACTAGAAATTTCCTCCAGCTGTGAGGAAAAATGTGATCCAAACTACGCAAATTGTGCAGTGAAGAGTGGAATTCAGAATTTTTCAATGTGACTATTGTGATTTTCATGCCATTTTACCTTATGACAGTCTTTTCTCACAGCTGTATCTCTTGCCCTCAACAGACCCGTTCAGAGTGATGAAAATTGCACAGTCTCTCCCCCCCTGGAGTAGATCATGTAAATTTCACTTAATCAGTTTTTTAGATAATGGTCCCAAATAAGATGCTGTAATTCTTATTGATACATTGAATTTCAGGATCTATCAGGAATAAGTTTTTAAAAATACTGAGCAGAATTCTGTCGCCAACCACGTGTATAAGTATTGAAAAATAAGAACTTGAATGATTGAAAAATTCACATTTTAAGACACCCCCCTCAGCAGTTGTCAATGCTTATAATTTTAACCCCTGGTGTTATTCATTCATTATGTCCAATTTCTAAATTATGCAATGATAAATTTCTCAGAATAGTCCCTCGCTTAACAGGACTTCTAGGTATGATGGGACCCGGCATGCTGGGTAATGTTCCCTTGGGAGTTCCTCCTCCTGGTATCTTGGGGTCACCTATGATGCTCAATAGAATGCCACAACCTGTTGGTACTTCTTTCAACCCACAAAGTAAGTATTTTTAAGTTTTTATTAAATTCTGAATTGATGACTGTTGTCCGAATTAATCCGTATGACCCTAACTTTAGTAAAATTGATGCTAGTTTTATTTGTGATTTTCTCTCTCACATGTCATAGAGAGAAGGATATATAAAGGGTATTACAATAGACTGAATAAAATTGTACAAAAGCGCTTGAGCACCTTTCGGAATGGAAAATTTGAAAAGTTCATTTCAAGTCTGAGCCCACAAGAGAATGATGAGTATACTCAGTAGAAAGCTACTAAGTCATTTAAAAGACCAGAGCAAGTAAGTTTCCCTACAAAAAGAGGCAATGACACCTGGGCAACCACTAATGAAGAAAAGGCAGATATTGATGGCTTTTTATCTTGAAAAATTGTTTCAACCTCATCCCGTTAAGCATAGTAAAATTAACAAAAATGAGGATATTTATAACTTAAAATTTTTACGAGATACTAAGATCAGTCTTATCTCTTAGGATGAAATTTTCTAAGAGATTAAACATCAAATTAAGTTACGCAAAGCTCCTGGGCTTATCATATTTAAGCGGCTCCCTACCAAAGTCATGCAAAAACTTGTCAAAATTTTCAACGCTGTAATTATACTAAAACATGTTCTCTCACAGTGGAAAAAGGCAGAAATTTTATTAATCCTTAAGGCTGGTAAACTAGCATCAGATTCCTCTTCGTATCGACCCATATCTTTAGTACATACTGTAGGCAAGTTATTTGAAAAATTGAGACTTTAAATGACTATTGAAAATATTAGACAAGATTGAAGCATCTAATAATTAATGAGCAGTTTGAATTTCGGAGCAAACCTAGCCCATTGGAACAACTTCACCGTATCATAAACTTTATAGAAAAAGCACTGGAAAAAGTAGAATTTTGCAATGCTGTCTTTCTTGATGTGGCTCAAGCGTTCGACAGGGTCTGGCATGAAAAGTCAAAATTTAAGCTTTCCAAAATTCTCCCTGGAAATCAGGCCAAACTTCTCTTTTCATACAATGATAATATATTCTTCCGTGTTAGATTTAACGATGCGTGCTCATCTTTCAAACCAATTAAAGCCAGGGTTCCTCAAGGATCCCTGCTTTCGCCCCTCTATTTTAGTTTATTTACATCAGATATTCCCAAACCGACAGGAAATTCCAAAATGGGTGACTATGCATATGACACTACAGTGCTCTCAGCTGCCCCTACGTATAAAGAAACAGTAAACAACTTTCAGAATTTGCTAAAGGACATTGAAGACTGAACCAATGGAGATGGAAGTGTTCTGAATGCTTCAAAATTGGAGACCGTAGCTTTTATTAATGAAAAATCTGTGTTTGAACTTTTAATTTTAAGCAACACACCTATCCTCTTTGCCACACCAGCAAAATATCTTAGACCTACTCTTCACTCTCAATTAAGATTTAAGCAACATATTCTCAATGAAAGAAAACAAATTGAAATCAAGGTATGCAAAATGTTATGGCTATTCGGACGCCGCTCCAAATTAAAATGCAAAACAAAATTCTTCGCTACAAAACAATAATAAGACCAATATGGTCTTATGCATGCCAAATCTGGGCCTGTGCAGCCAACTCAAATATAAGACAAGTAGAAATTGTTCAAAATTTAACACTAAGGCAAATTTTAAATGCTCCATGCATCTCAGTAACGAAGCTTTCCATTTGGACCTGGGAAACGGGAAAGTCAAAGTCTGCATTAGTAGTAGACTTTACAACCGATACGAAGTGCGCCTATCCGCCCACCCCAATCCGGAAGCCTTTGCGCTCATTGATTGAGCGGGGATCTGCGCTGTTTAAAGAGAAGAAAACCTCAAGATTTTGTCACCCCGGACTTTCTTAAAATTAAATTACTCCCACGTGTGGTACCTACCTTTGTTGGCGGCAATATCGGCATGCATCTTAAAATCAAAGTTCCTATTAGCAGTAGGAGTCTTACATCATTATTAATAGTTAGCTTTTGCCACTATTGCACTCTTTTTCTTTTCTGGACTGTTAGTGTTTCGTCTTGTTTATTTCGTTTTGTTTTTAGTTTGCTTTTTATTTCTCCTTCTAACCATCTTTTTTTATCTGATCAAAGTGGTTCATTATTGTAATATTGTCTGTTACGTAGTAAGCAAAAAAATTTAAAGAGCCTTAAGGTCTAAAACTATGATGTAATAATATAATGATACTTCTATCACGATTAAATGTAATGGAATTTTTCTTCTATTATAAATAAATAAATTTCAAAAAAGAAAAAAAGAAGCTTCTGGGTGAAAATGTTGACACCTATTAAAAAAATCTTTGTTAAAATCTCTATGGCATTGCAAAATCCTAGAGGTGAAAGTGACTCTAGTCATATTAATAACAGTAGCAATAGTTCCAAAAATAATCCAAAAGAATTCTGCCCCGTTTGCGGTTATAGGTGAGGTATGGAATTGGATTCAAAACCTGTCCGCAACGGTCCCGCTTTGATAAGGGTTTCAGGGTCTGTAGTTGTGGGACAAATAAAAATCATGAATGGTTGTATTTGAGCTATAACTCCAGGAACTTTAAACTAAAGCTCCTAGAAACTCAGCAGACAGCCTTGAAACAAAAAAAAAAAAAAAAACCACTTCTCACAAAACGCATACTACACAGTGCGAGAGTTTTTAAATGTGTAATTCTTTGTTTTGTAATTTTTTCTAATTTGACTTGCATTAAGCTGTTTTATCATTCAGGTTAATGTACCAATTTCTAATAAGTAAAAAAAATAAATGAAAAAAGTTGCAGGTATGGAACCCACTTCGCTCATAAATCTGAACAAGCTACAGAGAGGTTATTTCTACAAAAAAAAATGATCTCTCTAGTAAAAAGTTGGCTAAGGAAGAATCAAACTCTAGAGAGAAACACATTCTCAGTACCTTGCCAAGTGAAAACTCTCATAATAAAACTAACTCATCTTAATTCTGCTTATAAAAAGACCATTGCGAACCACTACTGAGCAGCATAGTCATCAAACACCGGTTTTTGAATCATGAGAAAAATATATTTGAAAATTTTCGAATTTTGTGACTTAAATATCCTCATTATTCACCGCTTATCACAAGCCATTTCTTAGTCAATCAAAACTAATCCGCCGAGTGTATTCTCCAAATTTTATGATGATTAGTCATTTGCATCAGAGTTTATTAAATTGAACATTGTGTTATAAGTAGGTGTGTTGTTGGTCAATTTTTGTGTAGATTGTTCCCTTAAATTTTCAACATTGAACTCAATTATTTAACAAATAGAAGAGATCAAAATTTATTCCCCTGATCTCCTAATTGAATGTGAAATTTTACTGGTCAACTTGTTGACTCTTTTTTTTTTTTTTCTTTTTTTTTCAGCTGGTGTCTTGTCTCAAATACCATTACCATCCGCTGCAGATAAGCAGAAAGCATCCCTAGCTCCACCGGGTGGAACTGATGGATTTGGCGATGGACTGTTACAACTGCCTTTCGGATTGCCGCCACATTTACGAATGCAACAAGGTAAGGTATCTTCAAAAGTCAGCCTGCTGTCAATCTCCTGTCAAATCTGGAAAAAGTTGTTTTTTTACTATTTTTTCTCCACATTTTTTAAATTTTTTTTTATATAGAATATCTTATAGAAGAATAATCAAGTAAATCACACTTGGAATTTCTTGCTGGTTTATATGATTAGCAATGAATTCCACAAAAGAGTGATTTTTATCACTAGCTATCTCTTTATTTTTTATTTTGAACTCTGCTACCCTTTGCCAGTGATATACCATGTCTTTCACTGTTCTGCTCAATAAAAGATCTGCAGAGCTGCTGCAGTTAAGGAAGAACTGGACACATTAAGATATTCTGCTAGAAACACCTAAAAATTAGGTTAAAACTGATATATGAACTTTTTAATGCCTTGCTGAAAAAGTTACGTACCATATGACCTTTGTAGTGAAACTGTAGTAACTCAGTATCTGGACAAGTTTGGAACCCAGTAACCCACCTGAGTTTGTAGAATCGCTTGGTCCTGCTCATCATATTGCGTATAACGCAATGCCAGGACTGTCCCAATAACTGGGTATCACCAAACTTGGAACCCGCTTACCTTGGTACAATTTTCCCATCTCGACTCAAAAAAAAAAAAATCATTTATCTCCTTTGAATTTCATTTTTCTGAACCATTTTTTTATCGTCAACTGTGATGAAGAGTGGCGCATACCGTACTCTTCTAAATTTACTATGAGGCAAGAGTGAGAGGAGATGTCAGTTCCCTCTCTCCTCCATGACGAATAATATTCGCAGAAGCGGACAGCTGAAGAAGGAACGGCAGTCCTCATCTTTCCCTTTCATTCATATTGGCAATTGGATGTATTTCTGCCAAACAGAACTATGTGCATTATGACGTGAGCCCTATTATGCATATATTCTTAAGGGTCTCAGGGCTCATGTCTCAATGCACATTGTATTGTTTGGCAGAAATACGTCCAATTGTTCTTGGCAAAGTTCTTGCAGTGCGTCAAGTACAACTATTTTCCATTACTGAATATTATTTTAGAAAGGCTATCAGTATAAAAAAGTAAAAAGTAAATTAGGTATTAGTGATCTTAATTAATTTAATTAAATGAAAGGCTTTTTTGAGCAGAGGCAAACATTTCTCTTCCTCCAGGAATTTAAGAAAACTACTTCAAACTAATGCACTCATAAGCACTTTTAATAAAAGTAATTACTCATCATGATCAGGGAGCAAAACTTGAAAACGGCCATTGGAAAATCAGGCAACTTGTGTAAGTCTGTAACCTCCATAATTTGCTACATCTCCCCAGTCCTGATGCAAACCGAGTGATGGCTGTTCTACCTTAATAACGCTCACCCTTTTTATTTTCTCTCTTGCCCTATGGAAATGATCTGGAATTTTCTTAGAGTTGATCCAAAAAGAGAAATCCACATTCTGATTGCTGTTGTAACTTAGATCAAAATGAATCTACGGAAAGCACTGATCGAATTGGGATGTATGACTTTACACTTTTATTAGCCGTTCTGGGCGCGCAAGCGCGCCCGGCACGTCTGGCCGGGGGGCTATGCCCCCAGGACCCCCAGTCACTCGCTACGCGAGTGACATTCAGTGCGCTTCGCGAGCCGATTTTGTAGTAGCTGCAAATGTTTTATCACTTTATTATGAAAATTTCATAGAAAACATTATAAGATAAGATATTAAAGAATATGAAAAGAAATATCAGAGCAGAAAGGAAAAGAAAAGACAGACAAACGCAGAAGAGATTCAAGAAAAACACAGTATAACAGAGAAGAAAATACAGAAAAATAACAAAGAAAACGACTCCACTTAAGTAATATAAACTTAGCTGCGTGTGCGCATGAGCAAGACAAAATACAAACACCAAGGAGATTTCAGAAAAACACAGCAGAGAACCAAGGAAAACACAGTAAAACAGAGAAAAAAATACTGTCGAATAAATAAAGAAAACTACTATCGAAGAAATTCTAATCATTTGGAAAGTAATTCGCTGGCGCAATCTATGCGTAGCTGCGTGGGAGTATGACTGCTTCGGCAGCATGAGCTTTGCATGAGCATCATCAACTGACTGCTGGCTAGATACCTGGGCGGGTGAGCAACAATACGCAAGAGCATGATTCAATTGATAGTGGAGTGGGGAATGGTCAGACGTAGGGGAAAGGTTCAGACTGAACCGTTCAGCGCAGCGTCAGTCACCGAGTGGGGAAGAGAGGCGAAGATGGGACACTTCCCCTGGAGTGAAATAGATTAAGGTGGAATCGCTGAAAGTCTGAATCCTTCGAAGTTTATATTAACGATGATGATGTCATTTAACTTATGATATTAAACTTTCATTTTTATTTTTTTGGAATTGTCTTCAAATCTCTACGTTTTTTTTTAGGCTCCATGGATTCCTCCCTGTTAGGGCCTCCAATTTCAGGGTCCATGGAGATTAAGGTTGATAAACCTGAAGAGAAGCCTAACTCCGAACAAAATAAGTAAGTTAATTTTATTTTCCTCGCAACATCAGAGCTTCCATTTATTTGACGTTAATGGAATGTGCTCCTTGAATTGATGAAAAAATTTTCTTTCCTGGGAAAAACCCTATCTTTTTAATGTTAATTAAATTTTGCTTTAAAATCATTCAATGCTAAAGGCATAGGTCTTGACTGGGCTGTTCTATCCTGTTCAAATCTGCAGCCAAGCAAAGAATAATATCACGGATCATTATGCAAAATTTCTATTACAGAGATCACGTTTCTTTGTTTAACATAGAAAATGATGCCATTCATCATGTTCGCTCATACCATGGCTCCTTACACCTGAACCTACTCATCGGTAACAACACATAGCCATGTCAATGTCGCTAAAATCGTGCATATTTCCAACTTGAATGTTGTGATAATTTAATATAATTAAATTTAAAAATTATAAATTAATTAAAGAAACTTTTGCACCATATATAAATAAAAAATGTATTACTTTAACACATAGGCGTTATGAATTTCATAAGTTCCTACACAAAAAAAACATCTCTAACTGTTTAGCTGCTAGAGAGCTACAGGTTTGCTCTGAAATTTGTCTCTTATTTTCTCTCTTTATTCTTAATATTTTAGCAGAAAAATGTACAATGTAAAAGATTTTGGATGCTTGTAAAAAAAGAGAGTTGCTCAATCTTAGTGATGTTGACCTAGGTTAATGCTATCTAGTCAGAAAGGTCCTCATTTGCATCACTGTCACAACCATAATCAATGAAACCGGACCGTTGGATGGATGACCATTTTAATGATGAACTACTTAATCTGGTGAAATTCTGCAAGAAAAGAAAAATTTTAAAACTCCCCCCCCCCCCCCCCGCCCTGTTTCTGAGGGCCGGCGGCTCTATCATCTCTGATGGGACTGCTGGTTACATTTGACAACAGGATTAACACAAAAGTAGTGTTTTGTCACCTCTTGTTACCTCAAACTCCTTATAAAAATTAGGGTGACAGAGGGGAAAATTGGAAAATATTTAACATGTACCTTGACTACCTATCAAATATTTTAAGCAGACGTTTTTAAATCCTGGTCTCTGATAGGTTAAGGTTGCAGTCCACCGCAAAAGTTAGTCCATCAATTCCTTATTTTTCTCAAGATCCTGTCGAAAATTGTTTATGACGTATCGCATCATCTGGCGTAGTTGGTTTGCAACTGACTTTTGCATGGATAAAATTGAAGTTTTAGAAGTGATGCGTCCACAGTTGGCAAAATTTCGTCACTATGTTTTTCGAAACAATAGTAAAATCTTAACTAGAGAATCAATATAACTGAAAGGAGGTGATAGAACGGTTTTTTTTTTTTTTTTTTGACAAGAGGACACAAGTTTATCCTCTGGTTACATAGCAAGCAGATTTGACCAGAGGTGATGGAACCTACCCTACATATTGCAACTTCATTTCCAACTATTAAAAAAAATATTCAACGAAAAGAAAAACATGATAAAACATAACAAGGATAACCTTGATATGCATCGATGGTTCTCAGTGTTGTGCTTATTAATTATGATTGATTTTTCTAGGCCACTCTTGCACAATTTCGATATCCCTCCTCCGAATATGGGAGGATTATTCTCAACGGACTTATCAGTGCCTCCTCCTCTGGTAAATAATCTAATGCCAAGTGGAGATAGTGACCAGAGGATTCCATCTGATGGTGGAGAGTTTGAAAACAAAGACAAAGATAACCGCAAGCAAGATAAAGAAAAGGATGACGGGAAAGACGGCGACCGACGGAAAGACAGAGACCACCGCAACTCGAGCCGTGACAAGGAAAACAAGGACAAGGACTACAGAGATAGGAGGGAAAGAGATTACCGCAGTAGAGATCGTGACTACCGGGAAAAAGATCGAGAGTACCGAGGCCGTGACAGAGATCGGGAGCATGATCGCGATCGAGATCGTGATTTCCGCTTCAGGGACGGCAGAAATGATCGTGGCATCGATCGAGATACAAGAGGTGAAAATATCCTTGTCTATTTCTTTTTTCAAGGTTTAATAATATTCCAGGAGAATTAATTGGGGCGAATGTCTGGAAAACTAATCAAATGAGACTGATAGATATAGCTAAATGATTAACATGGGTAAAATCCAAGTCGCGATATGCAGCACGGTGGAGTAGCTTCATGGGTTCAGAAGAACGGATAGCACATCACTGTACTTGTTGTTGTTCAAAAATTTCAAGTAAAATCTGAATATAAAGGTATATAGGTTGAGACTCCATAGATTCCCTGACTTTTCTAATGTTATCTATGATCCTATACAGGGTTGCAGTTTTTCATGAAAAATAAAATCTTGAAATTTTATGTTAAAAATTTCATGATTTAGACAAATATGAAAGATGTTGAAAAAGATTTTTTGAAATTAAATGCAAGATCAAATGAAAGGCAAATGGTTTTTACTTTTTGGTGTTTTCTAGTGAATGTTCCATATCCAGCCCTTAAAATATGTTTCATATTTTTCACAACTTTGAAAGGACCCTGCACACCTCTTATGGAAAAGTGCACCATGACTGTCCTTAATTTTTTTATTGCATTTGATATTCCTCAAAATGCTGATCAAAAGTTATTATTGAGCCAATTTTCTACGATGCACCATTTTCACAAAAAAACGAGGCCGAGAAGATTCAATTATTTGGCAACAATGAATCAAAAAGAACATAGCATTCGATTTAGAGACATGGAAAAGAGGTGAATAGAGCAGGAGAGAGAGAAACTGATTTGGATGGTCGAGCAAAACTGTGTGCGGAATTCGAAATAAGACTGCCGCTTGGTGCTGGAGTTCCCCTGATTTCCTTGTTGAAACACAGCCAACCATTCACTCGAGTGCTATAATGAGGAATCTTTTTGGCTCTTCATTGCCAAATAATTGAATCTTTTTGGTCGTTTTTTGCGAAAACGGTGCATCGTAGAAAGATGACGCAATAATAACTTTGATCAGCATCTTAAGGAGAATCGAGTGCAATAAGAAAATTAAGGATCCGTCATGGTGCTTTTTTCCATAAGAGATGTGCGGGGTCTTTTCATGAAATATTTCATAGAAATTTTCAATCTTCCATGTTTTCCAGTTCATTTGTACAACTCTGATCCCAAATTGTAGCATTCAAAACTTTCTGAAGTGAAAACTTTTGATGTAATGTTATTTTTTTCGTGCTTAAAAATCTCTCTAAAAAAGGTTAAAATACTAGCATAAAGAAGAAGAGACAAATAGACAATCAAGTCAAAATCAATTTAGTTGTATAACATTTAAAATCTGAGTAATGTCATCTTGTTTCAAAGGTTATTGTAATAAAAATGCTTATTATGTATATGTTAGCGTTAAAGTATGTAATTCAGTTAATGTATACATTAACTAGTGAAAGCATACATTAATTGAAGCAGCCACTTAAAGTGTGTAATTAGATTTTTATTACACACTTTAACTAGTTAATTCATAGATTAACTGGGACGTGTGAGTTAAAGTATAAAAAATATGTTTCTTTTCTAATTCTTTTTTTACCTTTATTTTGTTGAAAAAGTCGAACAATTTCTATGGCACACAATTAAAAAATTAATTCAAATAAAAGGAATTTGAACTCTCGTCTAGAAACTACCTGAAAGTCATGTCATTATCATTATTTATTTTTACAAGAGGAGGAGGAATGACACTTGGAGTTACATAGTAAGCCTTTTTTCAAACACGCGCATCGTTTCGTGGTACAATTTTTTTTGCATGAACATCGTACAAATCATTCGATTTGTAGGACGCCGTAGTGTTTTGATATCGAATAATCCTTTGGATCCCTCTTTCCGCCACTTTTCGCTTTTTTCACTGATTGAACGAGGTTTAGGTACTTTTCAGAAGTCAAAACAAAACAATTAGCTTTACTCGCGATTTGATCCGAATGCTCATAAATTTTCACGTGCCTCGGGTCGAGATTCTTTCACCAAATTTTGAGCGGAATTTTCACTTTCCATTCTCAAAAGAATAAAACCAATAGTCCATGAGTAATAGTACAAACAGTCCGAAAACACATCACCTCTTTCATGTCCTTGCGAGATACTGACAAGAAGTTGGGATGTGAGACGAGTCCCACCGGCGAATGTATATCAGAACAAGAGTTTTTTTTTTTTTTTTTTGCATATGTGAACTTTGACCACCCAAACATTCCAATGTTGCGAAAGCCGACAACGTCGAGAGACATCATGAATAGCCGTTTGTTTTGTTTTGATAATTTGACTTGATTCAATTGTGACTTTCACACTTTACCTGCGAGCCGCCCGTTATTCTATAGAATAACTAGTTATAGTGTGCAACCCACGAAAATTCAACAATTTAACTTGCCATTTCAGTTAATGTACACTTTAACTAGTTAATGTATACATTAACGGATTACATACTTTAATGCTAACATATATACTGTAATTGATGTTAATTATTATTATTATTTTCAGACCGAGACAGCCGTGATAATCGAGATAGCCGAAACAGCCGTGATAGGTATAATAAACGAGATCGTGATGATGATAGACGTCCAAGAAGTAGAGACCGAAGAGACAAACCAAGCCGATGGTCCAAAGATGATGAAAGGCATAGCAACCGGCGAGAACCGGATCCAGGCAATGAGAATGATAGAAGCCTTGGGAATCCTGAAGTAATGCCCATCGGTGAAAGGTAAACTTAATTTTCTTTACCTCATGAATGAGCAAGGACAGGTCTAGTGTGTAATGCCAGTTTGAGACCAATGAAACCAAATAAATTGATCTTACACCTGTTAGATATTCTTAATGCACGCCAGCTTATTCTCCGCACTGTACGTGACAGAATATAGGGATGGAGTTTCCTGTTAGATGATTTTAGTCAAAACTGATTTCTAGTCAAATAATTATCAACTGCAAAAATCCTGAATCAATCTTGAGATGGCCACATCATAAATTATGTGAGACTTAAGATTATGAAAGAAATATGGGAGAGGCTGTAAATATCTTTGTAAAAAAAGAAATTCCCTGATTTTTGTATGAATCCTTGTATTGAAGAAAAGGAATCAATACCTAACTCTCATCTAAAATCTTAAAAAAGTTCCAACATGTATCTCTGCAGCAGGAAAATACAGAAATTATTTTAATAAATTCATCAACCTCATTAGAAAAGCATATGGGTTCATTTCTGTACTTAATCCAGTGTGTGTGATTCTTGAATGAGTGTCATGGTTGCCAAAGATGCAAAAGGAATTCTTTAATCTAGTGATAACAGTTTCTCAGATCCTCCGGGAATTTAGAGACAACATATTCTACAAAACGCTGTAACAGGGCATCTGTCCAGAAAAAGTGCAGAATTTCAATGACTGTTCCGAAAGTACGAAATAAGTCTGAAAATTTGACTACAGGTCCAGATAATTCAGAAGTCCTGCATTTTTCATTATTTCTCAACCCAGAATGCAACATTTGGATGCAACAATTGAAAGCATTTCAATGAATCTGTACAAAATAGTGCGCAGTTTTTAACATCAGATCCTTTGGAACCACCTTCTACAAAGTTGCTTCATAATTTAAGAAGTGACGAATTCATCTTTGTAAGTTACGTTTAACATGCACAATTCTTTTACTCCTAATCGCGAAAGTCTAGGAAAAGTTAGGAATTTTTTTTCTCAAAAGCCCGTAGACATACTGTAAGGCATAGTGTCACTCTGAGGATACCTGCCGAAGTAGTTATCAAATTGAATTCAAATCATAGGGTACAATAGAGCCTCTTTTTACTGGAATGTCGTTGAAGTCAATCCTTGAATGGTGCATTCCCAGCCCCCTGTTTGCCAAAATTGGGAACCATAGGGTATGTTTTATCACAGTCGGTGATTTCAGAATTGCAGGCTGCGATTGTTTCAGGATTTATTCATTTAAACCAATAATGAGTCTCAGGAATTTTGGCATATTATGCTGGTCTTTATAAGTGAAAGTTAAGAAATTGTGTTTTATTGCAAATTAAGTGTATATATATATATATATTTATATGTCTGAATGATAACAAATCATGAAATATACTTTCGTTTGTCCTAGTTTTTATTATTTAATAACATTTATACCTGAAGGGAAGCCAGAAGCTGGGAAGCCAGAAGCTGGGAAGCCAGAAGCTGGGAAGCCAGAAGCTGGGAACCAGCGCATACAGTATTGCCAGTTGCCACACAAGTGTCTCAGGATTACTGGATAAAATAGCCTCAAAAAGTGACTTCATCAGCACTCCAGTTCAAAGCGACTCTATTGTACATTGATTCAAATATTATTCAACATAACCTCTCTTATTTGTTGCAGTAATGCATTGCTACTTATGGAAGAATAAGTACCTGTTTAAAAGTACTGTACTTAGGTGACGTAAGTGATATAGGATTTACATATATTTCATTTCTATGAATATGCATCTTAAATAAATTAAGCATTGTTTAAAAGTTTTTCCTTTCTTCAAATTACTTAAATTTTTCAGAGATAATAGTGCCAGACGTGACAAGAGTCCAAGCCATGAAGGTACAAACCTTATGACTCCTGGAGTGTCAGAGGACAGTGATGAGCGCGATCTTCGTGGTCACCCGCCAGGAGGACCACCTGGAAACATACCCATCAGCCATTCACTCGGAGGACCGCCCCCCAATGGTGGTCCACCTTCCAGGCATCCACTGCTTGGATTACCAAGTGAGTATCTGCCAAACGTTTAATCTCTAACGTAGTCATAATCATGCTTATAGCGTATTATTTTGGTTGCTACCCTTCTCATTGTTCAACTTTTGTCATCTATTTTCAATCCTAAAACTGGTCAAAAATTCAAATTTCTTTGTGATCGATTAATCAATGAGATGATTATTTACAGAATAATCACATGGCTCTACAATTATGCGTCAGTCTCATGAAAACGCTTTGCCTTCACCAACTATTACAACTCTCATGATATGAACTCGCATACCCAGATAATTGAAGGAGTTTTGAATCACTTCTTTGTTTTCCAACATCCCAATAGTATTAATCATGTGCCAATGTGGATAGTTATCACATATCTTCATTTATCAAATTGCGTAAAGAACTAAAAACCCTCAAAAAAGGTAAAAATTCCGCCAAGCCTATGAGATCTTGTCACAAAATTAGTAAGTATGTATCTAAAAAAAATTTCAAAAAGGGGGGGGGGTTAGTAATCTCTTGAAAATTACAAAAGGAGAAAAGAAAAGTTACTCAAACTCTGTTTTCCATTTCAAACCTCAAAATGTCTGATATCATTTGAGGTCAAGATTTTTTAAGTATAGGTACGCCCCAGAACTAGAACGAGCAAACGGGAAATTAATTCTGCTGAGAGTCCCCTTCAGTTAGTCTCGGGCGCAACCAGCTTACCTTTGAAGCTAGTTTAGTTGCTTTGGTCACTAATACAAGGAAAGATAATTGGATTTGTTTCCTACGAGAAGATGGCGAGGGATAAAATAAAGCAGTTCTTTTTTCAGTCTCAAACCTCAAAATATTTGACATCCTTTAAAGTCAAGATTTTTTACCATCTCCTCGTCTCACTTTCATTTTCGTTTTGCATTTTAGGAAACAAATTCCACTCTCATACATCATTGAAAATTTAATTTTTCGCTAATTAATCCCCTTCATTTCAGGCAGCCACAACTCTTCTTACCTACAATAGCTATGTAAGGAACCATTGTATAATACTTACGAGACCTTCCTCGTTTAGATCAAGAATAGAATAAATGTTTTCAATTCAGATTCTGGCACACTCTTTGAAAATTACAAAACGAAGTCAGGTAGATGAAGGTAGAATTTTTAAAAAGAGCAAAAAAAAAGTAGCTAAAAAATCAACAATTCTGGCGAGACAGTCCCGATACTCTTGTGGGTGTGGTATGGCTGAAAGGGTAGTTCCAATAATAAGGGTAATAGAGCGAGGTTCAAAATTGCCGAAAAATGGAAACGCATCTTTTTACCAGTTCGAGTTGATTTTTCTTTCTTCCTTTTCAGCACTCGCCATTTTCATGTCATCTAGGTCCTTCAAAATTCGGAACGGCTAATTAATATGAGCGCCAGGCGGAAAAATCATAAATTCGACAGTCAGCTCCTTCATTTTAAGTGAACTAATAAATTTCTAAATGAGTCCTCGGGATCTGCCACAAAACGAATTTCATAAGCTTAAAGTGCTAGCTGGAATTTAAGAGGAGTTTTTTCAAGCATTCATGTAATCCTTCCTTTGTTGTTTTACTTGCAATGCTTGTGGCTACACCTTGGTGTCTAAAAGAAGATGGGCTGCAGCTGACACTCAAATGATACGTAGTGAGACCGGCTCGCCAGAATTGTTGATTTTTTTAGCTATTTTTTTGCTCTTTTTAAAAATTTTACCTTCATCTACCTGACTTCTTTTTTTAATTTTCAAAGATTGTGCCAGAACCTGAATTGAAAACATCTATTCTATTCTTGATCTAAACGAGGAGGGTCTCGTTAGTATTATACAATGGTTCCTTACATAGCTATTGTAGGTAAGAAGAGTTGTGGCTGCCTGAAATGAAGGGGATTAATTAGCGAAAACTTAAATTTTCAATGATGTATGAGAGTGGAATTTGTTTCCTAAAATGCAAAACGAATATGAAAGTGAGACGAGGAGATGGTAGAAAATCTTGACTTTAAAAGATGTCAAATATTTTGAGGTTTGAGACTGAAAAAAGAACTGCTTTATTTTATCCCTCGCCATCTTCTCGTAGGAAACAAATCCAATTATCTTTCCTTGTATTAGTGAAGAAGGCAACTAAACTAGCTTCAAAGGTAAGCTGGTTGCGCCCGAGACTAACTGAAGGGGACTCTCAGCAGAATTAATTTCCCGTTTGCTCGTTCTAGTTCTGGGGCGTACGTTTACTTAAAAAATCTTGACCTCGAATGAATCGGCTCATGCGAAAACCTCGAGTGTGACCTCGAGAGAATGCGAAAATTAAATGAAATAAGACGAAAACCAGTAACAATGGTCATTTTTTTCTATCTCACTCAAGTTTATGACAATATATCTCACAATAGGGAATCAATTGCTAGATGAGGTTACTTTCGAGCCTCAATAACAAACCTCTGTTGCAAAAATAAGCACAAGATCGTTGAATTATAATAATCTGACATGATACTTATCCACCCCAATAAGCAAATCAATCAGTCTTATTAATTGATTCGGCTCCTGCGAAAATCGCTAATGTCCATTTTCTCTAATTTTGAGAGAACTGCAAAAAAGTGTAGGAGCCTTTAAAATGCGGAATTGAAAATGTTCAGAAGTTAATTATTACAGGAGAGGATTGTAGAAAAGGATCCCTAACAGTTTCCAGCTCCTCTTCTGTCTGGGACGGAATTATTAAAAAGAAAAGACTGTGGACATTAGCGGTTTTCGCATGATTCGTGAAAATCTCCGAGTTTTGGAACCGTTTGATACTTTCAAAATTCATTCAAAGGATATTAAAACGATAGATTATCATTCAAATAAAGTTGTAAAACTAAAATTCTTGACAATTGCGGCACGTAAAGCAAGTTTCATCACGAAACGACCAGCAATAAACTGGACATCAGCGGTTTTCGCATAATTCATGCATGGTCGGTTCTAAATCATCGAAAACGCATATTTTTCAGTATGCCTTTCGGGTGTAGAAAGTTACCCCTACGTATTTTGATGCGCTGAATCCGATTAGGACCTCAGTTTTTCCCCATTATCCTCAAATTTTCCGGAAAAGCCGATTTTACTAGGAAAAATGACCATTTTAGGGCATTTTCAGTGTTTTTCCGACTGCTATCCCCTGCATAATGTAGGTGAAATTTTTCGTAGCTACGAGATTCAATTGTACCGATGTCTTTTAAACTGATGAGTCCGGAAATAACCTTAATTTTTCCCGTTCACCTCTCAGTTTTCCGGGAAAGCAACTTTATCCCGGGAAAATGAGCAAATTCGACGCATATTTGTCGTGCATGCAATGTATTTTTATAAATTTTCCTAGACCCGTGGTAGCATGTTACTCATGTATTTTGAGCTGCTAAATCCGAATATGACCTCGGTTTCTTTCTATCACGCTTCAGATTTCCGGTGAAGCCGAGCTTTCCGAGCCTAAAATTGTGTATTGTAAAACCTTTGCCGGATCAAAGTATATTCAAAATTCATTGCATAAATGTCTCCGATATGTGAAACATTGGTTCCTTTGTATTTTGATGTGTTGAATTCAAGTATGATCTCAGATTTTTCCGATCACCCATCATTTTTCCGGAAAAGTCGCTTTTCCTAGGAAAACGCTCTTTTCAGATATTTTTGCGATGATTTTTGTGCTCGAAGGAGTTTCAGAAATTCTCCGGTAGGTTATAACGAATTTCTAAGGTCATATTCGGGGTTTTCAGCCCAAATTACATGAGTGTCGATGTATCACATATACGGAAAATGTTTTGAATTTCCCTAGAAGTGGGAACTGTCCGGAAAAGCTTTAGGCCCGGAAAAATCGGTCCTACTAGAAGACGGGGGGGTTGTCAAAGATGAGTGAAGGTCAAATTCAAGTTCAGTGCCTCTTAATACAGCAAGAGAGACCTTAAGAGGATCTCGGAAAATTTCTGAAACTCCCCAGAGCAGAAAAATCATAGCAAAAATATCTGAAAAGAGCGTTTTCCTAGGAAAAGCGACTTTTCCAGAAAAATGATGGGTGATCGGAAAAATCTGAGATCATATTTGAATTCAACAGATCAAAATACAAAGGAACCGATGTATCACATGTCGGAGACATTCATCCAATAAATTTTGAATACACTTCGATCCGGCAAAGGTTTTCCAATACACAATTTTAGGCTCGGAAAACTCGGCTTTACCGGAAATCTGAAGTGTGATAGAAAGAAACCGAGGTCATAGTCGGATTTAGCAGCTCAAAATACATGAGTAACATGCTACCACGGGTCCAGGAAAATTTATAAAAATACATTGCATGCCAGACAAATATGCGTCGGATTTGCTCATTTTCCCAGGATATAGTTGCTCTCCCGGAAAACTGAGAGGTGAACGGGAAAAATTAAGGTCATTTCCGGACTCATCAGTTAAAAAGACATCGGTTTAATTGAATCTCGTAGCTACGAAAAATTTTACCTACATTAAGCAGGGGATAGCAGTCGGAAAAACACCGAAAATGCCCCAAAATGGTCATTTTTCCGAGTAAAATCGGCTTTTCCGGAAAATTGGAGAGTGATGGAAAAAAACGGAGGTCATATTCGGATTCAGCGCCTTAAAATGCATAAAGATCACCTAATTTTGTCCACGAGACATTTTTTTTATTTTGATTTGTTGTACAGTATAATGAGGCATATAACGAAAGATGGACATTAACGGTTTTCGCATGATTCGGACCACGGCCCCCCCCCCCTGAAAAGGGCTTCAAACCTAAGGAACAAACATTTTCACCACATTAATGAGTGTGTTTGACCTCCGAGAGTATTTTAACCCAAAAATCTCAAAATTGAAAAAAGTGAACCTTAGTGGTTTTTGCACGAGCCGATTCAAATGATATCAGACATTTTAAGGTTTGAAATTGAAAAGATAGTTTGAGTAACTTTTCTTTTCTCCTTTTGTAATATTCAAGAGATTACTAACCCCCCCCCCCTCATACATACTTACTAATTTTTTGACAAGATCTCATAGGCTTGGCGGAATTTTTACCCTTTTTGAGGGTTTTTTGTGGTTATATCAGTTATTTTTGACTTTACTGCACATGCTGAGCCCATTAGACGCTTATCAAAAGGAAGGAAAATCTTAAACCATGAATATTGGTGGATAAGGATTCATTAGAAACAAAGTTCCTTCTTGATGTTATTTTTCCCCTTGAGATGAAACATATTTCTATCCTTTTAAAGACAGGGAGAACAAAATTAAATACAGGCACTCACAAGAAAATTGTGGTAGTATTTACTGCTGCCTGCATTTATCTTCTTTAATCGGAGTTATGCGGTGATGCTGAAATTAAGGACATGACTTGAAAAACTATGTTAAGAAAAAAATAAAAGAAAAAAAATATTTGGTCAACTTCGGTCCGAATGATATTTACCTAATCAGAGTAGCCAAAAATTTCCAGTCGGTCACCTTTGCATAACCCCTGCTTGATTACCCACAGAAAAATTCCAGCAGGGATCAGTTAATATATTTTGAATGATGTGCTCCAATTTATTTTCAAATAAGAAAAGTTCCTTTTGAAATCGAACTGATTTTCTCAAAACATTTAGAGGAGGTAAATCTCTCAAATAAAATAAAATGAAATAAAATAGCCTTAGCAAATAATTTGCGAGAAATGTTTCTTCCTGCTCATTATAAGTGTTGGAATAGTTACCTAATTTTAATCGTACGTTGTTATGAATGTCAAAGGCTAGCAGTCATGTGAATTCTTGGATGTACATATTGACAAATGAAGTCATTGAAAGTCAATGATGTCCGTAAGCTTTGTAAAGCTAAAAAATACTTCAAAGATGAGCATAAGAAAATTCTAATGTCAGAGTCCTTGTTTATTCAAAGTGAAATAGTTTACTTAAAAAATTTACTTAAAATTTCTGAAAAGACCCATTGCTATGATGATCCTTATGACCTTAGACAACCTTAAGACTACCAAGTAGCGGCAATTAATTAGCGATTATTAATTAACTGCACAATGAATCAGCTCCAAATTCCGCCTGTATGCGAGGAATGAAGTTTGGCAGCCAGAGTGCAAAGGGTTTTGAGTTTTGTTAAGTTTTCGCGGAGATATTTCAAAATAACGCAAAAGTTGAACGGGTTCATGTAAGATACAGTAGCGGCTCCCATTCTCGGTTGCTTGAGATCTCTATAGGCTTGACGGGGTTGCTACCGCTACTAGTAATAGAAAAATTTAGTGTCAATCAAATGGATAACTGAGCAAACTGATAAATACTTATATTTTAGAGTTTCAACTTTGATAGGATTTCTTGAATAATGATCCTGTTGTTCAGTCTGTGTGAATTGAAACATGCAAAGCAAGTACGGATCGCAAGGAGTTAATAGAGGACTGCCTACAACACGAAAAAATCCGGCGCCAGCCAAATTTCAAGATTTTTTGATCTCATGTTCCTCACAATCCCTGGAGGAATATGAGCTTTTAAATTCGAACTTTTTGTATGACAGCCCCCAGAAAAGTGGGTCTGAGGAATGTGGCACTGTGGTTTTTGGCTGTTTTACGCTCTCTATACAGTGGCTAAATGTTGGTAGTTGAGGAGTGAGCTCCTTTTTACTCGCCTCGGCTCAGCCAGGAGATAAAACAGCGCGTCGAATCAGTAAAAAAAATTCTCTGCGTCTTCAACTCAGTGATGGTGCCATTTATTTGTGTAATCACAAATTTTTGCCAATTAATGCACTTTTTTCCAGATTTTCTTAAGATCGGCACACAGAAAACTCAAGTTCAAAACCTCATCTTACTCAGAAGATCGTAAGGAACATCATATCAAGAAATTTAGCTGGTGCCAAATTTCTTAGTATTGTGTGCTCAGACCTTTAGAATACTAAAATAATTCAGTCTTATCTATCTCAAAGATCAAAAGGTATTCTAAAATCCATTTTTTAACTTATGTTTTTTGTCTTTTAAACTAAGGATGATGACTACCTACTTGTGTTCTTTAGGTGGTCCAGAAATATTCGGTCTTCACGGACCCGGACCTGAGGGCTTAAACTTCCGCCCACCTCACTCCAATGACAAATTCGATTGTCCACCTCTGGACGCTCTACCGCCAGATTTCTGCCCTCCTCTCAAAGACTTTGAGGAATTTGATCCACGGGACGCCGATTTCCCTATGAGAGATCGCCCTGGCTTCGACCCACAGAGGCATCCACCTGGCAGAGGTCCATTTGAAGGTCCTATTGATGATTTTGGTCAAGCAGGCATGTTCGAGCCCCGAACTCGGCCTGACTTCTTCCCGCCGCATGGTATGAGAGGTCCACGACCTCGTGGCATGCCACCCTTGTTAAGTGGTCCTCCAGGTAATTCATTTTTTTCTTTTCTTTTCTTTTTATTTATGCATAAGCATTAGGGTTGTAAATTGCATGCATTTTGCAAAATCAACTAGTTTGAACAAAATCGAGGTCTAAACCTAAAAATCAGAATTTCATCACAAAATTGACCACTAATTGGAATATGCATATAAGGGTGCGACAAAAAAATTAAAAGTCTGAAATGTTCCGCTCCCAGACGGCAATCGATGGCACTTGGCAATGAAGCATTTTTGCCAAAATTTGGGCTTATTTCAACTATTTTAAATGGTGTCAAAGGTCAATTTTGTGATGAAATTCTGATTTTTAGGTTTAGACCTCGATTTTGTTCAAAAAAGTTGATTTTACGCTGAAATTGTGCGTTTACAAGAAAAATGCCATAGAAATTAAGTTGTAGAGGATGAAATTTCGCTTTAGAAAAACATATTTGTAAATTATAAGAATCAAATTAGACTATAGAAACTCACCTTGGTATTTATATTTTTGGTCCTCCGAATTTCTGAGGTCTTACAAAGTATCAGTGTAAAAGACTCATTTTTCACGAAAATCATCATCATTAATATAAACTTCGAAGGATTCAGACTTTCAGCGATTCCACCTTTTTCCATTTCACTCGAGGGGAAGTGTCCCCTCCGTGCCTCTCTTCCCCGGTCACCCGGTGACTGACGCTGCGCTGTGCTGAACGGTTCAGCCTTAACCTTTCCCCTACGTTTGACCGTTCCCCACTCCTCTGTCAATCGAACCATGCCACCGCTTACGCATTGTCGCTGGCCCACCCAGGTACCAGGGCACCTAGCGGCCAGCGGTCAGTTGATGATAAATCTCGCTGATGCTCCCAAGCAGCTACGCATAGATTACGCCAGCGAATTATTTTCCGAATAATCAGAATTTCTTCAACAGTAATTTTCTTTATTTATTTGACTGTACTTTTTCTCTGATTTACTGTGTTTTCCTTGCTTCTCTGCTGTGTTTTTCTTAAATCTCCTCGGTGTTTTTATTTTATCTTGCTAATGCTCACACGCAGCTGAGCTCAGATTACCCTAGTGGAGTCGTTTTCTTTGTTATTTTTCTTTATTTTTTTCTTTGTTATACTGTGCTTTTCTTGAATCTCTTCTGCGTTTCTCTGTCTTTTCTTTTCCTTTCTGTTCTAACATTTCTTTTCCTATATTTTGTTCTCTGAGGATATTTTTGATAAATTAAGCATGAATCCAGCTTCAATTGATGACGTATTGCAGGACGCGTTGTCTGGCAACACAATTAATTTGTTTTTTGACATTGTGCGTCATATGACGAACTCTTGACCTGTCAATGTAAATTTTATGGGTTTGTGGGATTTCATAGGCCCAGCTCAATTGAATAATGGCAAATTTATTCAAATTTTGAGTAGCAGGCCCACCGGGAATACAAATGAAATTTACCACTGGGTAACTTTTTATTATTTTAACAACACTGTAAAAAGGGGAAATGTATATTAATACTTATCATTTAAGGAAGCGCAACTAAAATTTCAGTAATTTTTTCCGAAAAGTAAAAAAAAAAAAAGTGGCTAAAGATGGTTCCTCACTTTCTCGTGATGATGGCTGTTTCTGCTATGTGGGAACCGTCCATTTCAAGATACAGTCCATCTCTTGCCCCGTCATTATTATTCTACAAGTTAACTGTAGAGTGAAAATGTAATAATGTTTTCTATGAAATCTTCATAATGACGTGAGAAAAAATTCGCAACCACCACAAAATCGGCTCGCGTAGCGAGTGACCGGGGGTCCAGGCGGCGCAGCCCCCCGGCTAGACGTGCCGGGCGCCCGCGAGCGCCCAGAACGGCTAGTAAGTCCATATACATGAACTAGACAAGTGCTGAGGATACAAATGTCATCAGAACTTCCTCAGTTTCAACCAAAGGTCCCATTTTTTTTGCAAAATCCTCCAAAAAGTGTACGGCTCAAAAAGCAGGATTGTGCAATAAGGGAGAAAAATTGTGTGACAAACTTTCCCTATGTAGTCGTCATCAGTGGGTCTTCCTGAAGAACTTCCTAAAAGTTAAACATGATCCGACCCAGGAACACCCCTCTAAAGTACCTAACATTCAAAATGGATGCTGTAATAAGGGGATCCGGAAAATCTATATTTGAAGATGTTCATTCTGTGTCATGTAAGGTATCATTTTCTCTGTAATTATGGTCGTAGATTTCATATATGAACTCAACAAGGGGCCCCAGTCTAAGGGGATGCCCCAAATCAAAGAAGTCCGCCAAATGTGGAAGGCAGGAGGTTGCATTTTTTTTCACATATTCACGAAAGAAACAAGGCAAGTGAGGTGTCTCTATTTCCATGCATTTATGGCCAACGAACCTAAATTTGATATTAATAATGTATTTAATTAAAGAGATTATAAGAAACAGGACTACGGAAATAAATGTAATCTGGGAGACGTGTGTTTGCATTTTTATGAGTTAATGTGTCAACATGTACTCTTTCCAAATTCTCGCGGGTCTTCCCTGTTCTTTAGCAATCCCTGCAAATGATTTGTCCTCAATCAATTTCCTATTACTGTACATCTCATAAACTTGTTCTTGGATTTGAGACTATCCTCTTGATTACNGGGGGGGGGGGGGGGGGGGGGTGTGCATTTATGCCTTCATGTATAAAATTTACGATTAAATTTACAAAGGAATGGAAGCACATCACTTGCCTTGTTTCTTATATGAATATGTAAAAAAAATGCAACCTCCTGCCTTCCACATTTGGCGGACTTCTTTGATTTGGGGCGTCCCCTTAGACTGGGGCCCCTTGTTGAGTTCATATATGAAATCTACGACCATAATTAAATAGGAAATGATACCTTACATGACACAGAAAAAACATTTTCAAATATCGATTTCCCGGATCCCCTTATTACAGCTGCCATTTTGAATGTCAGGTACTTTTAGGGGTGTCCCGGGGTCAGACCATGTTTAACTTTTAGGAAGTTATTCAGGAAGACCCACTGATGACGACTACATAGGGAAAGTTCGTCACGCAATTTTTCTCCTCTATTGCACAATCCTGCTTTTTGAGCCGTACAAATTTTGGAGGATTGTGCAAAAAAGTGGGACCTTTGGTTGAAACTGAGGAAGTTCTGATAACATTTGTATCCTCAGCACTTGTCTATAGTTCATGTATATGGACTTATTTTCGTGAAAAATGAGTCTTTTACACTGATAATTTGTAAGACCTCAGAAATTCGGAGGACCAAAAATATAAATACCAAGGTGAGTTTCTATAGTCTAATTTGATTCTTATAATCTACAAATATGTTTTTCTAAAGCGAAATTTCATCCTCTACAACTTAATTTCTATGGCATTTTTCTTGTAAACGCACAATTTCAGCGTAAAATCAACTTTTTTGAACAAAATCGAGGTCTAAACCTAAAAATCAGAATTTCATCACAAAATTGACCTTTGACACCATTTAAAATAGTTGAAATTAGCCCAAATTTTGGCAAAAATGCTTCATTGCCAAGTGCCATTGATTGCCGTCTGGGAGCGGAACATTTCAGACTTTTAATTTTTTTGTCACACCCTTTTATGCATATTCCAATTGAATCGGCTCGTGCAAAAACCACTAAGGTTCACTTTTTTCAATTTTGAGATTTTTGGGTTAAAATACTCTCGGAGGTCAAACACACTCATTAATGTGGTGAAAATGTTTGTTCCTTAGGTTTGAAGCCCTTTTCAGGGGGGGGGGGCCGTGGTCCGAATCATGCGAAAACCGTTAATGTCCATCTTTCGTTATATGCCTCATTATACTGTACAACAAATCAAAATAAAAAAAATGTCTCGTGGACAAAATTAGGTGATCTTTATGCATTTTAAGGCGCTGAATCCGAATATGACCTCCGTTTTTTTCCATCACCCTCCAATTTTCCGGAAAAGCCGATTTTACTCGGAAAAATGACCATTTTGGGGCATTTTCGGTGTTTTTCCGACTGCTATCCCCTGCTTAATGTAGGTAAAATTTTTCGTAGCTACGAGATTCAATTAAACCGATGTCTTTTTAACTGATGAGTCCGGAAATGACCTTAATTTTTCCCGTTCACCTCTCAGTTTTCCGGGAGAGCAACTATATCCTGGGAAAATGAGCAAATCCGACGCATATTTGTCTGGCATGCAATGTATTTTTATAAATTTTCCTGGACCCGTGGTAGCATGTTACTCATGTATTTTGAGCTGCTAAATCCGACTATGACCTCGGTTTCTTTCTATCACACTTCAGATTTCCGGTAAAGCCGAGTTTTCCGAGCCTAAAATTGTGTATTGGAAAACCTTTGCCGGATCGAAGTGTATTCAAAATTTATTGGATGAATGTCTCCGACATGTGATACATCGGTTCCTTTGTATTTTGATCTGTTGAATTCAAATATGATCTCAGATTTTTCCGATCACCCATCATTTTTCTGGAAAAGTCGCTTTTCCTAGGAAAACGCTCTTTTCAGATATTTTTGCTATGATTTTTCAGCTCTGGGGAGTTTCAGAAATTTTCCGAGATCCTCTTAAGGTCTCTCTTGCTGTATTACGAGGCACTGAACTTGAATTTGACCTTCACTCATCTTTGACAACCCCCCGTCTTGTAGTAGGACCGATTTTTCCGGGCCTAAAGCTTTTCCGGACAGTTCCCACTTCTAGGGAAATTCAAAACATTTTCCGTATATGTGATACATCGACACTCATGTAATTTGGGCTGAAAACCCCGAATATGACCTTAGAAATTCGTTATAACCTACCGGAGAATTTCTGAAACTCCTTCGAGCACAAAAATCATCGCAAAAATATCTGAAAAGAGCGTTTTCCTAGGAAAAGCGACTTTTCCGGAAAAATGATGGGTGATCGGAAAAATCTGAGATCATACTTGAATTCAACACATCAAAATACAAAGGAACCAATGTTTCACATATCGGAGACATTTATGCAATGAATTTTGAATATACTTTGATCCGGCAAAGGTTTTACAATACACAATTTTAGGCTCGGAAAGCTCGGCTTCACCGGAAATCTGAAGCGTGATAGAAAGAAACCGAGGTCATATTCGGATTTAGCAGCTCAAAATACATGAGTAACATGCTACCACGGGTCTAGGAAAATTTATAAAAATACATTGCATGCACGACAAATATGCGTCGAATTTGCTCATTTTCCCGGGATAAAGTTGCTTTCCCGGAAAACTGAGAGGTGAACGGGAAAAATTAAGGTTATTTCCGGACTCATCAGTTTAAAAGACATCGGTACAATTGAATCTCGTAGCTACGAAAAATTTCACCTACATTATGCAGGGGATAGCAGTCGGAAAAACACTGAAAATGCCCTAAAATGGTCATTTTTCCTAGTAAAATCGGCTTTTCCGGAAAATTTGAGGATAATGGGGAAAAACTGAGGTCCTAATCGGATTCAGCGCATCAAAATACGTAGGGGTAACTTTCTACACCCGAAAGGCATACTGAAAAATATGCGTTTTCGATGATTTAGAACCGACCATGCATGAATTATGCGAAAACCGCTGATGTCCAGTTTATTGCTGGTCGTTTCGTGATGAAACTTGCTTTACGTGCCGCAATTGTCAAGAATTTTAGTTTTACAACTTTATTTGAATGATAATCTATCGTTTTAATATCCTTTGAATGAATTTTGAAAGTATCAAACGGTTCCAAAACTCGGAGATTTTCACGAATCATGCGAAAACCGCTAATGTCCACAGTCTTTTCTTTTTAATAATTCCGTCCCAGGCAGAAGAGGAGCTGGAAACTGTTAGGGATCCTTTTCTACAATCCTCTCCTGTAATAATTAACTTCTGAACATTTTCAATTCCGCATTTTAAAGGCTCCTACACTTTTTTGCAGTTCTCTCAAAATTAGAGAAAATGGACATTAGCGATTTTCGCAGGAGCCGAATCAATTAATAAGACTGATTGATTTGCTTATTGGGGTGGATAAGTATCATGTCAGATTATTATAATTCAACGATCTTGTGCTTATTTTTGCAACAGAGGTTTGTTATTGAGGCTCGAAAGTAACCTCATCTAGCAATTGATTCCCTATTGTGAGATATATTGTCATAAACTTGAGTGAGATAGAAAAAAATGACCATTGTTACTGGTTTTCGTCTTATTTCATTTAATACTGTTTTGTAATCAGAGCAAAAAATAGTCTCAACCTGAAATTTGGATAGTTTTTTTTTTTTTTTTTTTTTGTACTAAAGAGATGCAGAGATAATGATGAATCCTGGAATTGCCCCAGTATTCCCTTGAGAAATGGTGATAAAATAGTAGTTCTGCTTTCTCAGCGCTCTCTGGCGGTTTGCAACATGTAGCTGCCATGGTCCTCTATTGTCTCGTTACCCCTCTGAGAGTTGGCATGCCCTCACTTCTTCCATAATTCCCTGTTGCTTTCGTTTTACATACAACTTTATTAAACCCCTGAAAAATATTTGAAAAATTTTGACTTGTCTCTCACTGAAGAGGTTTGATGACCTATGAAAACCAATTATTTTTGTTAATGATAAAGCTTCTTTTGTCTAAAAAAACTGAAGTTACATATGTCGATGGTGTGATGTGGGTGATTTTCATCCTTAAGAGCACCTCACCTTTAGAGAGGGACCAATTTTTTTAAATGGACCAAACCAAAGTTTCTGTGATCTTGAACTCTTCTATGCAGTGAAAAGTCATTGTAAGTAGCCAAAAAGATTTTGAAAAATGAAAAAATTTAACCCATCCTGTCACTATCTTTGAGCTTTTTAAGGAACCTTTTGAGCATCTTCAAATGGTAGTTAAAATATAACTATTTTTGGAAAGTAAGTCAATTCGGAAGTGCAAAGTTTAATTAAACTTTTAAATATTTTATTTCTTGCTATCCAATGCCCGCAGACACACAAAAATGGTTAAAAGAATGCACACAAATGATTAAAAAAAAAAAAAAAAAAAAAAAAAAAAAAAAAAAAAAAAATTACCTCCATTTTGACCCATTTTCTGTTCTAGAAAAAATATCAATTACCCTGTGATGACAGTAGACGTCTAAAAAATTTTGATTAGCAAGTTCATACCAAGTTTATGGAAGAAAAATTTCTACTTGGTTCTTATGTCCATTCTTCTCCCTCGTATGATACCAACGCTTGCATTGACAACATCAAAAACACTTCAGTTTGGCTGTTCTTTTGTCCTTGAAAATGTATGAAAATTTGTGGCAAACTAGATGATAGTGTCAGTACAAAAGTAAGAATTTTACTTGATTTCTGGGTTTTTCTTCGTTCACTAAGTGATTCCCGCACCCGCAAGTATATTAATATTATCTAGGAACCCGAATTTGCTGTTCTTTGTATCCAGAAAATTTTCAGCAACTTGCAATGTCAGTGGAGGTCTAAAAATTGTGAAATTCATGTTAATTGCATATTTTTGGCGGGGTAACCCTAGAAACTAGATTTTATCTCTATGGCGTATGATGCCTGAAAATTTATGATTAATGTAAAGTTATCGCAGTGTTTCTTTCTGTCCCCTCTAAATATGAATGACTCTAAATGTGTCCCTACGTCTTGCAACTTCCTTACCAAGATTTACCTTGATGCAAGAGGTTAGGCTTACATTTCGTCGCCCCCACAACGAAGGGGCGTATCAAGATTTTGACTACTTTTCAGGAGAGCAAAAATAAGATTTTGAAGAACGTAATTCCTTCGCCGCTGGGTCCCTAATTAACGTATCTGATTTTTCTTTTCGCACTCAGCACCAGAAAAAGATCAGGATTTTAAATATCATATTGAATTCTTAAAACTATGCCTAGCAGCCCTGATATCATTGAAATATTAGAAAAGGGTCCTGATACGCCCATTGGCGGAACACTGAATTGGGCACCTCCGCTGCTCCGCCGCGTCCTCTCGGCGGGCGTATCACCTTGTTGCGCTATATCTTCCCTCATTTCATTCCTTACTTGTTAGTTCTTTCACTTAATTTATTTTCTTTGAGTTTGATTTTTCTTCCGAATTTTTTCTAGGTGGGCAGTTTTGTGTATTTATTATGGTTTAAGGTAACAACATCCTTTTTGAGATGTCTAAAAGGTTACGAAAATGAGAAAATCAAGAAAGCGTATATGTAATCAGAATTTTCAAAAGCAGTGTCTCGTTAATAAGACTTTAAAGGAATCTATGCTGAAGTTATAAACATAAGAGGATATATTTTATGTCTTCCTTGATAGTTTTACATACTTCAATTTAGGGCTGTTTATGTATAAACAATGCCTTGATAATAATATTTAAGAAAAAGAGGAGGTTTAAATTCAAAGAGATGTGTCGATATTTCAATTTTAGGGCACACTATGACATTTCATTTTAAAAGATAAAGTAAAACCACTTTTTTCATTCGCCAAAGATGAAAAAATGTTAACTGTTAAGATTAACTGCATTAGGATGCTTAATTTTATTTCTGACACGACAAGTCAAATTTGGTTAACTGCATTTACTTTTGATCAATAAGAGGTCGCAACTTGAAGTGTTTAAAAATAATGTTTTCATTGCCACTCCAAATGTATTTTTGCCATCCTTAATTGCTGGAAATTAATAATCTTACTAAAAGATTTGTTACGTTAAAATATATTGGAAATCTCATATCCATATTGGAATCTCATTATCTGAACAAAACGGCGGAAAGATTTTGGCTTTTATTCAATTTAAAATACTTCATTTTGCTTTCTCTTAATGACCAGGTAGTAAAAGCTGTGTATGGACAGTTAGAACAATAAAGTTAAATATGAATGATGAATGTTCAATTAAATGATGAAGCAAGAGTATGCCTGAAAAATCAAAGAATCAACCATCGATACTAGTCAATTTACACTTATTATAATTACAGGTGAAAGACAAATGAAAACGAACATGATTACATTTGATACGTCGTCAAAAGAGAACCATTAGAGCTAACGAAGTGTTTATTGGCATGTAAACAGAAACTTGAAAAATCGTGACCATTGAGAATCTTTTGACATTTGCCGTCTATACATCCCCGGACAATTTAGATCTTTTCCCAGAAAATCCTGTCAAACCAAAATTAAGAGGCGAAAAGCCATCAACATCAATGAATCCCGACTGACAATACGAATCACCCGGCAAATTAGGTTTCCTGAGTCCTGACGATTAACAAAAAAGGGCTCTTTAGGCTGTTGCATTAAAACACGCCGACAAATAATAAAAAAATACCGCCAGATTGATCTAAAATCTGTAGCAGGAATAACAAAATGCAGAAACAATAACTGAGAAACACACCCGATCAATGAGTGACGGGCATATTGTGTCGCGCACACGGAAAGGGTCTGATTTTCGAGGACTTATCATTGAGAAGAAGTCAGGTAGCGGACACCGCGAAGCGGCGTATCATCGAAACCCTCGCGTTTGCTGTATGATGCGCCCGTTTGCCGAATTCAGAAAAGGTCTTTCTTATGATACGCCTTTTTGTTTTTCCTTAATAACTCAGTTAATATTGGGAGTTGAGCTCTCAAAGTAGGCTCGATGGAAGAAGGAGCTTGAGGTGCAGAAGAATCCATTCATAACTCAAAACGGCCAATTTTGATGATATGCCCCTTTGTCGTCAGGACGACGAATTATGCCATAATTGTAATATACCTTTCATACTTTCTAGGTTTAATGGGTCTAATGTTTCCTCCCCGAGGCCCCATGGGAATGCGAGGAGCTCCAAGACCTGGTCAGTATTTTACTTTTATTTCAGTGATTTTTTAATCGAACAACCCGTTTTTTTGCATCTGATAATGTGGCCTCATAAGACTGCTCGATCTCTTTTGACCATGGTTTTATCGCTCATTATTGGAGTGATTTTTCTTGCAAGTAAGAGAATTTATTAAATAAAAAATGGGCATCCAAGTTTGGAACAGGCAACAGTCTGGATGACTCATGAACCAAAAGAAAAAGGAATTACATGTAGTCAAAGTACAAGTATTAAAAAAAATTGTGGTAATTATATCAGAAAGTGTGATATCATACTACCCAATGTAATGAAACAAAACATTGTGTTTGTGTGTGTAGACATATACCTGGCAACGGCAGTACAGTAGTGATCTCTTTATTTTTTGCACAGGTATCTGGCTTGATCCGATTGGAGGTCTGAATGGTCCGCCACCGAGAGGTCCAAACCCTGAAGATTTGTTCCGAGGACCAGCCTTTGAAGACTCTCCATTTGGTAGTCATGCCCGAGGGAACCAGTGGCGACCTCGTGATGACGATCGTCGGAGAGGCCGTGATGAAGAACGTTTTGGTGACGGCCGCAGAGAGAATAAAGACACAGGTAGGCAAGGAAGAACAGAGGAGGAAAACACCCTCAACCAACTTCGAGGGAGATCAAGCGAACCGGTGAGTGAACCCTCCGCAAAGGAGGATCTGCCCAAAGTTGAACGGCAGTTAGAGACGGTTATGTCAGCAAGTGAGCAACAGCCAGTGAGTGAGTCAGAACAAATGAGTGAGTCCCAGTTAGTAAATGAGGTACAGCCCCCAAGTGAATCACAGTCAGTCAGTGAGTCACAGCAAACAAGTGAGTCCGCAGCCTCTGCAGAATGTCAAGAGTTGGCTGGGGAGTCTACCTTGGTAAATGAGCCAATCAAATCAAATGAACCAATTCAGTTGACAGAGCAAAATCAATCACCAAATCAGTCAACTGAACAAGAACTGCCTATTTTTGAACCGCCCGTTAGTATAGCAAATATATCTGCAGAACTTAGTAAAACGCCTTGTATGATTACTAACACTGTCAATCTAAGGGAAGCAAATACTAGTGCACCTGAAGTAGCTAGTGAGATTAGTAGTAATGTTGAAAATAATAATCAAGAGATTGAGTCTTTCAACAGTTTAGAAATTAATCAGGCTAATAATGAAGAAATGAATAAACCGTGTGTGACAAGTGAAATACCTACAGAATTTGAGCTTGATTCGATGCCTGTTAAAGAAATGTCTGTAAAGAACGTTATTGAAAAGGATAGCAGTGAATATATAGACCTTCCTCAAGCAACAGGACTAGTGACACAAGTGTCAGAAAACAGTGTGGAAGGAACTGAAAATGAAAATTCTGAAACAACCTAGTCTGTTTTTTGTTGCAACTTACTTTGCTTCTAATAGAGTAACTTGGCTGCTCTAAAGCCAGTTAATCCTGAAGGTGGTAATGATTTTCATCACCATCATTTTAATAATTATTTATTTATTTTTTTTCAATTGACCTCAATTTTAGTTTTGAAATTTGGTATAATAGTCTACGGACTGAAGTACAGTGTATATATGACTGTAATCAAATTTGTTTTGCCGAAATTCTTGAGGAGAATATGGTTTCTTAGAAATCGATTGTTACATGGATAAGTATTTTTTCGGTTATTATAAGGGTCACCCAGACAGTAAGGTCTCCCTTTAAAGTTTGTTAATGCCAGGAAAATCCAATCACACCATTGGATTCAGGCTCAATTAAAGTTCTCATTTTTGTAATTGAACCATGGGAAAGAGTGCAGTTTTTCTGCGCTGCTGTTTAAAATAGAAGAAATTATGAAGGGAAACGATGTTGACTAAAGTCCATGATTAAGAGAGACCCTCGGTGGATTTTGGAAGAACATTGATGAAAAGGTGACAAACTTGGTGAAGAATTGATTTATAACCAACCTGCTGAGTTCTTTGATGAAGTGATTCACCAGCTTGTGCCAAGGTTTCAAAAATGCATGGATCTCAGCGACGTTGGTTACGTTGAAAAGTAAATTTAAAAGGTAATATTAACAAAGTTTCTTATTTTCCTTGCAATAAACGATTACATATGTGCAATACTTTTTCAAAGCAGTTTTGAGGGGTCCAAATCCGGCGGTGAGAGTGATGACAGTGGAAGAGGAGGGGGCGGACAAACTGCTCTCCTTGACATTCCTATGGTTCAATTTTAATAAATGAGAACTTAAATTAAAGCGGGGAGTATACTAAATTCAATGGCGTATTCGGTTTTCTCTAGCACAAACAGTTTGCAAAAAAATCTACAGATCTTACTCCCTGGATGATCCTTGTAGTTGTCTAGCCCTATTTTTTTTTTCTTTTTATCTTTCTCCTGGGTTTTCCTCTCTTAAGGTGATTCTATGTTATCTAGGGACTAGATTAGCCACTATGCTGCGCTGCTATGCGGTTTGTGTCTTTGAGAAGCAATAATTATTTTTACGTACAAGATAAAGCAAGAAACTGATCCATAACGTGTAGCAGCATCAATACTGAGTAGCATGACATCAAATTTGTTAAGATTCATTGTAAATTTGTATTTGAAACTCCGATAACGGACGTCGCCCAATTGACTCAATGTGTAAGAGAGAAATAGCGCTATAATGACTCCCTCTTACACGTTGAGTCAATGGGCAACATCTGTTATCGTAGTTTCAAATATAAATTTTCAATTAATCTTCACAAATTTGAGGTCATTCTACTCAGTATTCATGCTGCTATATGCTATGGATCAGTTTCCTGCATTATCTTGTACATTACAATAATTATTGCTTCTCAAAAACTTAAACCGTGAGGCAGTGCAGCATGGTGGTGAATCTCTGCCATAGATCACCTAGAATCGCCTTACAGATTTACAATGTCTATCTCTGTTTAATGAGAACACCATTTAACCACGAATTACTTCAAAATTAGGTATGTTTTATTACCTTTAGCAAATGAAAAAAGTGAAACAAAGTTCGAAGATTTTTACTGTTCATAAAAATGCACGCAATAAACTTAATTTCACATCTGTTTGAGCTAATGGGTGCAACCTTTGATAGAACAATCTAACATTTTAATGTCATTAAACCTTTCTTAATATTCTTTTATTTTTGTAATCACAGAAATTTTATCCTGTCTTTATCTCAATAGAAATTAAGCCTTCATCAAAGTCATTGTGAGTTTTGAAGCGATTAGAACTTCAAAACTAAATTAACGCATTGCTATGCTAGTATTAATCTCTTTACTCATAGTCTCGTGCGTGATCTTAGAATGCCAATAATCAGTTTTCAAGCAAAGATACCTCGTTTTTCGGACACGGCAATCTTACGGTGGTTTTTGCTGTTGTGAGGAAAATCATTGTTGTCAAGGTATTTTGACTCCCAGTTGATAGACAAGTACATGAGTGCATACATTTGCTTTCACAGCGCTCTCTGGCGCTCTAACACTTGGCTGCCAAAGTCGTCCATCATCCCAAAAACAAGTGCATGAGTGAAAGTCTAATTCTGAGGATCCAGGAAGTAAAGTCGCCTTGGTTTTCAGAACACGAAAAATTGGTCTAACTATTAGGTTAGCCTGTTGTTACAGTGCTAACCATGATAGAATTTTAATCCTCAATTTACAAAATTCCCAAAAATTTTTCAAGGATGTTTTTCAAGGAAGTGATAAACCTTCTGGTAGGCTTGTTGACCTTCTCTTTCATACTGGTAGGCTTTTCTCTGATTGTGGGTTTCAGGAGAATGTAACTGGAAATCATTCAACAGTGCCTCCCAGCGAATTGAATTTGGGAACCCATTTTATCCTTAATATTCTTTCATATTGCTTAATGCTTTGTACATTAAAATAACCAAAGTTGACCGAAGATTCTAGTAGGTAGTCCTCCCATCACTGTCGTCAAAAATTATTGGAGTCAGTCCTTCTAAGCGTACATTTTATTTAAATGAATTTCTATAAATTAACCCATATCCAGTAGTTTACTTAAATGATAGATTTGCAATGTCTTTTTTTGTCACATGGATTGATTCTCTCTATTTATGAGCAAACTGATTGACAGCTGGGTTAGCTTTTCTTCCATTTTAAATTTTTATTGCAGTAGCAAATAATGTGAATTGAACCTGATTCTCTTTATGTTTCCTCATTCTTTCTTTCTTTTTTCCCCGCCTCTGTATTTGTTATTAAGACCTTGTTCTAAGTACCCCAAATTAAACGTGATACTTTCTGCCCATTTTTTTTTCTTCTTTTTTTTTGTGGAACAAATGAGATGAATAGCTGGCTCTCTCACATTATTTTTTAACCAGCTTGTGTTTCATTGTTTCTACTTATGAATATATTATGGTCCAGTTTCCAGCTTAATTATTTGTTGTGAGGATTATATGTGTTTAAAATCTTTCATCCTATGATTTGAAAAATTAGTCGGAATTCTTGTGAACAATTAAGCAGAGATAGACAAAGGAACATGAGAAGTAGTTAGGAAAATTGTGCTAACTGCATTCTAAGGTATTTTTCCTGTAACTTGCTTAACATGAGAGCCAAGTCACAAAGTACCTGTGGTATTAGCATAGTCCTAGATCTAAGACATCATTTTTTGTCCCTGAACTTTGTAATGTTTCCTCTCTCTATCATTGGTTTTATCTACTCAGAATCAAATTGTTAATCACGTGTAATTTATTTGTTGGAATTTTATACAATTTTAAAATGGAAATTTTTACGAAACTTTCATGAGTCTATTTTTATGACCCCAAGAAATATTTTAAAATAATAATAATAATAATATTAATAATAATAATAATAATAATAATAAGAATAATAATCATCATCATAATAATAATCATCATCATAATAATAATAATGATAATAATAATAATAAAACTCAGCCGGTTCTACTTAATTGAACTTAGATCAGGAAAGTATGGTTTTGGTATTATCTCATTGTATCCATTACAAGGGCCATTTTTTTAATGAAACGCTGATTCAAGAAATATGTCAAAGGAAAATTTTCAATGCTTTTGGTATGATTTTACTCTTCGATAAGCTCTGTGAGCGTTTTCTTTAAAATTTAGAAGCCAATACTCACTAATAGTTTTTTCTTTTTTGCTCTTTTTCTAGATCATTTAAATCTAGCGTATGTTCTTAAAATAGTCTCTGCATGTGCAGTCAAAAATCATATGGCCCTCTATAAATGGTGCATACTTTAAAAAGCAAATCAATTTCATTGATTATATTTAATCACCCCCGGAAAATAAATTCTTTGTTTGAAATTTTTGTCCATCAGAATTTAAATTTGATTGCTTTGATTTGATTCATTTATCAATAATTTGTCCAGCTTTATTTAGTTTTCTGTGAAAAAGTAAAAAAAAAAATAAAAATAAGAAAGTCCTGTTAAGTTATATCTATTTTCAACTTCATTGAGGGGAGGGGTCAATTCAACTGACAAACACTTTAAGTTGAACATTTTTTTCGAAAAATCTTTGATGAAAGAGGTTTTCAGATCTTAAAATTATTTATTCTGATGGATATTGGAATCTGCTCAAAAATTCCTCTGTCAATGACCGAATGTTGAACTATCACAGACCATGGATTTACTTTTCCAACGGATCTGTTAAATTTTGAAACTACTGGTCTTTTTATGATCGATTGTGTATAATTTGTGGTGTTTCAATCAGAGGTCATAGTTTTTTTTTATTCCAAAACAGTTATTTAATTCGAGAAGTTATTTCTTTTTTTGCAACACCCATAAATTTATTTGCCTCTATAGAAGAGTTTTCTATAGTGAGTGAGTGAACTAATACCCCGGCCACTAGTTACATCCCTTCAGATCTGTCCTCAGAAAAACCTCTTTTCCCTATCATAAAGGAAAATTGTTGCCAGTTTTTTATCCCTTAAGCCTGAAAGTAATCATTTTATTCAAATTCTTATCCTCTCTATGAAAAGTAATTTCAGTTCCCTACTGAAAAGTTGTTCAGTCTAATTGCAACGTAAATGACATGTCCCTCTCGGTAATCAGAAACATTTTTTCCCCCTAAATCTCTTTTAATTCTTATCATTATTGCTTAGTCATGCTCCTCAAAACTAGTGAGCGTCATGAACAGACAAATTGACGAAAGGTGTCATTGACATTATTTTTTCACTCCTCAGTTCACACCATGAAATACGATGAATACAGATCTTGTGACATATGCACAAATATTGTGTGTGTGGTTTTTGTTTTTATCATCAGTGTTGGGTGTTTTTTTCTTTTTCAATCAAGAACCGTGCTGTACGGCACTTTAAGTATTCTTAACTCAAATCATCGCTTTCCAAGGCTCGATGAAAGGACTGGCTCTTGGTTTGAAAAGGACTGGCCAGTGCTTGCGCTCAAATTGAGTGACAAGTGCAAGGTATTGTGACTTCTCTCTTGTGCTCATGCTTTTTATCATGACTGTAACTTAGGTTTAGAAGAACAACCTCAAAATCCAAAATATTTTGTGCATCGATTCACAGAATTAAGCAGTCATTGACTGCAGCATCAACTGTCAATGTTTACCTTCCACTGAGTTTTTATGGTTGTCCATAGGACAACTATTTTTTTTTCTTTCTAAAAAATACTTCTCACAATTCTTGAAGATTATTATTTTGCTTGGTTGTCCTTCTGTGCCTTTGTTGCAGTTTTTTATACTCTATGCAAAGTGTAACAAGCAATGTTTTCTTCCACCTTGTCCACTGTCTATCCACAAATTCTGTCTGTAATTTTATCTCTGCTCGGTTTTAATTAACTGCCCCACCTGAGAGTTTTTATCCAGTGAAACGGATATTGTCGTTTTTGTTTATTTTGTGTAAAAGCAACCTAAATTTGCACATTTTGATCTTGTAAATCTATTCTTATTTTTCATTTGGTTAAGGTACATAAACATAATTTTTTTTTCTTTTTTGATTTTGAGCGACTGAAATAGCCTTCATGGTTAAAATTAACACATGTCCTGAGATTGTTTCTACACCTGTGACTATCATGGACATCCCTCAGGCGCAAAATGATTTAAATAACTCAAGGATACGCCTTTCCAATTTTTTCATGTCTTTAAGTTCCACAAGAAGTGCTATGATGGAATCGCGCCTTTTTTTTTAAATAAGAAGAAACTCTTTAGAATAGTTAGGTTGATGTATGTACACGGAACAACACACATGAAAACATTGCTTGTCCCAACATGTTTTTTGTAAATTATTTACCTGTATAAATTTGTATTATTCATCAACCATATTCAGTACGTCTATAAAATTCTATCTTACAATATGCCCTTCCTTTATTTTCTCTCATTTATTTACTCTTCATTTTTTTTTTTCATTTTAATAGTTGTAATATATAATTTGATTCATTAATTTCACTGGAAAAATCATTATTGCTTTCCAATCATTTGTGCAAATGAAAAACTTTCAAATACCATAAATCTAGCAGCTAACAACTCAGTTTTACAGGTTCCCAAGACTATTTTCAATATTTTTTGAGACAATCCTCTCTATATTTTAAAACATGTAAGTGTCCAGCTAACACCTGCTTGCTCAGATTATCTTAATCGGAGTTTCATTTGAAGGAGGGAGAATCAAGAACGTTCTGTCATCAAGCTAAATACAGATCTTTCAAATCCTGTAATTAATCATACCAGCCCAACATTATTTTGTTAACATCGTTGACAATGCTTCCTGATACCTACTGTCAGAGAAACAAGGAGATCTTCTACTCACCTTGACTGTGGAGTTTTTCCACATTTATTACTCCTTCTAAATGTAAAATGAAGGAATATTTTTAAGGATAATTTTTAGAATAATCGAAACCGCCAGTAGGTGAATGGGGAAGGTGAGTAAGTATTAGTCTTTGGTGATTTGAGAAATTTAAATTTAAATGTTTTCCTCCATCGATTCTCTTGGCTCTCAGAAAGGTTTGACTAAAACTGCTTGGCTGAAAATGAGCTATTGAGGTAAATTTTTCCTGCATAGTTCACTCAAAATAAGTTATTTTATTATTATTTTTTTAAGAAAGAAAATTTGTAATGTATCATTTCGATTGCATTTTGTAAAAAGGAACCAAGAGCATTCCAATGTTGCTAGGATTTTGCAACTTAGCATTTTTTGCTATAAAGTCAATGAAATCATGAACCAATAAAATTTACAAAAGTAACTTTCATCTTGAATTTATCGTTTATTTGGAGTCAAATAAAACTTGTTTAGATGATCATTTTACGTTTGGAAGGTAAACAAAATTTGCACCATCTTAGTGACACAGGAATGCTCTTGGTTCCTTTTTGCAAAATGCAATCCAATTTTCCAAAGAATTTACTTACCTACCTTCTTCCTGTAAAATTAAAATGGTTTCCTTTTAACCATGCAAAATAATGAAATGGGACAGAAATTTTACTATGTCCCAAATTGAGATGCCTACCTAAATTTTGTCTAGCCTCTTCATTTGACATATTGGACTTTACAAAGACTGTTGGCACAATGCCACAAGCTCCATTCAAAAAGCACACGTGTCAAGAGGTTAAGCGTGGCTTTTACAGTGATACCACTATTCGACCTTGTAGGGGCTCGTGTTGCCTACACTGAAAATTGAAGGCGAACTGTCAATGTATTAGAATCACCTCTCCACGTTTGCTGTGGGTAATGTCTCATAGACACCACAGGTCTAATTTTTTTTTCTTCTACCTAATGGTGTACGGATTTCAGATTTAGGGGGTCACAGGGTTCTTGGTAATGATGAATTGAAATTACTTTTACTGAAAATACGTTATTTTAACCATCACACAGGGCCGGTCTAAAGGGGGGAAGGGAAGAACACGGACTGCGGCCCATAGCGACAATTTTTCGGGGGGGGGGCGACAAAGGAGGTAACTCTTTACATGCGTGTACAAGAAAGTTTAAGATTTATAAACAAAATCCAAGAATATTCCTTTTCCTTCGAAGGAACAGGAAGCAAGTTTAGATTCGTACTGATCTCTATTTCGACCATTTTCATTAGGGCAGTAGCCTTTGGCTGAACGCAAATCCGGTTGTACCTTGCTCCTGTCCGTCCGTCCGTCCTCCTGTCCGTTAAGCTATACGACCACTGGGTCATGGGCAAAGGGACAGCTACATGGTTATTGGAGAGAGGGGGAGGAGGAAAAAGGCGCTCGGGAAAAGCTCTGACGAGCGCACACGGCGCGGCGCGGCGTGGCGCCTCAACGAATCTTCGTAATCCGTAAAAACTGGGGTTGATGTAAATTGTTGAGTAGGTCAAGGTAAAGAGGTCATCGGCGCGTCCCCCAAACCCTTGTCTGTTCAGCTAGCGGCGTCGTTCGGAGTGCGCAGTTCTTCGTTCGGGGTAGCGGGGGTGGCGCGGCGCGGTGGGAAATTGGGTCAGCAAGAGGGAACATTCGTTGGCGCGCACAATCGGTAGCCACTATGAGAGGCGTCGCCAATCCGTCGCCATAACGCATTTCCCTCCGTGAATTGGGGCGGAAATGACGCTGAGTCTGGCAAGGTAGGGTCGGCTGTAGGTCGGGCAGCCGCGTCGCAAATGGGTATCGATTGGTCAGGATACCTCGCTCTGCTCCCATCGTCGAGCTGGTTGTCAGCTGCAGCTATCCAAGATTTCGTCAGATCCTGTGTTCCTAGGCGTGCGGATAAAGCCGTGCCGTGCAGACGTTCCCTAAGCCTACCCGCACGGACTGAAAAGCCCGTATCATACGATCAAAGAGGAGCTCTCAAAAT